TATTGATAAATATATATATTTTAAATCATTAATTCATTTATATCCGAATTCGGGCCTAATACGGGTTGGAATACTATATTCCGTGTCCGATCCATTTTTTTGTTTGACAAAACGGATTTGGATCCAAGTAACGGAATTAAATCCTTACCCGTACCCGCAATAATTTCACGGATTCGGGTCTAAACCAGGACCGTTGATAGGCCTACTGATCCCAATGAATATATGATTTGGCAAAAATCAATGTCGACAAGTATTTTATACATACCCCTTTATATTATACATGACTCCAAATGAAATTTATGTCGGGTATGCATCACCTAGAAGAGTGATCTATTGAATAATTTATTTCATCTGATGAGCTACGATTCCCGACATTAGGGTGAGACAAAGATCAACCGAAAGGAAATCATCTGAAAAATTTGGATTTTCTCGATCCTCATACAAAATAATGTGAACTAGAAAGTTATATTTATTGACTCCAAAAGAGTCATTAAATCAACTATTCCTGCAGGAAATTCTCTTGTTAAAATTGATGTTCCTGAAGGACATGCACAAGTGCTACAAATAAAGGCCGGCCTACCTATATAAGGTATAAATTGATTTCAAATATTTTCGGAGATTAAATAAATGTCATAACAAAATTTAACCCCGTGAAGAGGTCGCTCCCGAAGAGCCAACTCCTAAAGAGAATGAAATTATAGAAAATTTAATTTGAGCCTAATGAAGTGTAGCACTTGATATTATAGAAGTTGATAAAGATCATGAATCTAGATTCATAGATGAATGTCGGCATAGAAATGATTGACCAAAATGGAAAGATGCGATACAATCTGAATTAGATTCACTGATTAAAAGGAAAGTTTTTGGACCTGTAGTCCAAACACCTGAAGGTGTAAAGTCAATTGGATATAAATGAATTTTTGTGAGAAAAAAGAATGAAAAGAATGAAATTGTGAGATATAAAGAAAGACTTGTAACCCAAGATTTTTCACAAAAGTTTGGATTTGATTATGATGAAACGTATTCACCTGTAGTAGATACGATCACATTTAGGTATCTTCTGAGTATTGCAGTGCATGAAAAACTTGATATGCGTCTGATGGACGTTGTCACTGCTTATTTGTATGAAAATCTTGAAAATGATATTTACATGAGAATTCCTGAAGGATTCAACATGCCTGAAACATGTAAATCAAATTCTAGAGATGTGTATTCTATTAGAATACAAAAGTCTTTGTATGGGTTCAAGAAATTTGGACGTATGTGGTATAACCGCCTCAATGTATGCTTAACTAATGAAGGTTATACCAATGACCCAATATGTCCATGTGTTTTTATCAAGAAAAATGGATCAAATTTTGTGATTATTGCTATATATGTTGATGATTTCAATTTGACTGGAACTCCTGAAGAGATCCAAAAGGCTGTCGAATATTTGAAGAAAGAATTTGAAATCAAAGATTTTGGAAAGACAAAATTCTGCCTTGGTTTACAAATTGAGCATTTAGAAAGTGAAATTTTTATCCACCAAACTGCTTATACCCACAAGGTATTAAAGTGGTTCTATATGGATAAAGCACATATATTAAGTACCCCAATGGTCATCAGATCATTAGACCCGAATAAGGATCCTTTTAGGCCACGAGAGAAACATGAAGAGATACTTGGTTCTGAAATACTATATCTCAGTGCAATTGGTGCGCTAATGTATCTTGGTAATTGTACAAGGCCAAATATATCATTTATTGTAAATTTATTAGCAAGATTTAGTTCCTCGCCTACAAGACGACATTGGAATAGTATTAAACACATTTTTCGCTATCTCCAAGAAACAATTGATCTTGGTTTGTTTTATTCAAATAAATATAAACCTGAGTTGCTTGGATATGTTGATACTAGATATTTATCTGACCCACATAAAGCATGATCTCGGTACAACCATTTCTTGGCGTTCTACAAAACAATTCTTAACTGCCATTTCATCAAATCATACTGAAATAATAGCAATTCATGAGGCCAGTTGAGAATGCATTCGGTTAAGATCAATGACCCACTACATCCGGAAGAGTTGTGGGTTATTCTCCTAGAAGAAAAATCCTCCAACAATTTTATATGAAAATAATGCAGCTTGTATAGTTCAATTAAAAGGAGGATATATTAAAGGAAATAGGACGAAACACATTTCAGCGAAATTCTTCTTTACTCGATTTGTAGAAAAATAGTAAGATTAATGTGCTACAAATCCGATTAGATAATAATTTGATAGATTTATTTACCAAGGCATTGCCGACTGTTATATTTAGAAAACTGGTGAAGAATATTGGAATGCATCGGCTAAAAGATCTCATATAATGTTTGCATCAGGAGGAGAAATTATTACACAAGAATAGTGTACTCTTTTTCCTTCACTAGGGTTTTTGTCCCATTGGATTTTTCTCGAGTAAGATTTTAATGAGACATATTCTTTGTGTAATGGACATCCAAAGAGGAGTGTTATAAAATAATTATAAGATGTGGATGTCCGTTTATATTCTCAAGAAGATAGATACATATATTCTCCCTAGATTCATTGGTACATTGAATTTTATGGATGTACTTGGAGTACTAAATTCATGTATTAGTATTTAATAGGGGTCATGTACCTTTGATCTTGGATCATCTATATATAGGGGTGAATCCTAGTTGATTTGTAATCGAGAAGTATTTTGAACAGTAAATAGAATAATATTATAGTTCTTCTTTCTCTCCGCTTTTCACTCTACTATTTCAATCCCTAGGATTAGTAGTTTATTTTATTAGTTTTACTACAGGAATAACGGATGTCAAGATTGTATAAAAGGACGGAGCACTCATAGAAAGCTTATTGAATGACTGAGAAGCCCAAAGCACATTCAATAAAATGCAGAGTTTTCCTCCACCGTGGAAGTTATAGCTGGTTACACACAGAGAGCTTTCCGGCCGGTGGCACCACCCAAAATTTCTTCGCGGCAAAACCCCAAGGCCCAATGATCAGACACACATTTAAACCCAGAGAAATCTCTCTCTCTTCCCCTGCTTCACCCACCAGCTCCACCTCCCATACACCCTCCAAACCAAACACTCCTCAAGAACAAGAACAGGAACAAGAACAAGATCAAACCCTTCCCAAGAGCCCATGTCACGGCTCCTCCTCCTCCACTTTACCATCATCTTTATCAGAAGCAGCAATTGTTATAGCCAACAATGAAGATCTCTTAACTCAAATTTTACTTTGTTTGCCCCCAAAATCCCTACTCTGTTTCCAATCTGTTTCCAAAGGATGGCTCTCAACCATTTCCAACCCCCAGTTTCCGCCGTCTCCACTCGCTGGTTTACCCCACCAGCGCTGCCTCCTGCTCCCCCGCCTCGCTGCTTTTGCTTCGCCGGGATCGCTCTCCCCTTGTTTTCGATTTCATTGCATTCCGCCCGAAGGAGGTAAATTCGATGGCCAGCATTGTATCTCACTTGAATGCTTTCTTATACGGTCGCATTTCAGCTTTTCATTCTTGCAATGGTTTATTAGCTATGGTGTTCAGCTTTTCTTGTTCTCGGGTTAAAGAATTTGTGGTGTATAATCCTACTACTCGGGAGTTTAAGCTTATTCCAACGATCGATACTGTAGATTGCTATAAAGTTCTGAATATTGTGTTTGACCCTGTAAAGTCTGATCACTACAAGCTTATTTGCATATGCTGGGATCGCTCTGAAAGTTCTGTTTATAGATTCTCTGTATACTCATCTGAAATTGGGGTTTGGAAGAATACTGGAGAAATGGAGATCGAAGAATTGATTTGTGAACGGGGAGTGTTATGGAATGGTGGTCTTCATTGGATTAGTCACTGGAATTACAGCGTATGCTTTGATGTTGATAATGAGTGCATTGGGCCGCATAGGTACGCCATAAGGGAGCCCGGGAAACATGCAGATGTTTGGTATTTTGGGGAGTCAGGGGGCCGTCTGTTTTATATTGATGTAAATGAACCTCAAGGGATGTTGTTCGATGTTTTCGAGTTGGAGTTGAAGAGGGACTGCCTGTATTGGAGTGTCAAGTATCAAGTTGATCTTGCTCCCTTGACTACTCTGTATCCGCAGATGTTAAACGAGAATTGTTCTCTCTCATTTGAGGAGCGATTTGAATTCTATACAACTAGTTTTCTTGTGGATGAGAGAAAAAAGAAAGCAGGCCTCGTCATATCACTGGCTGGTAAAATTATTTCTTATGATATTAACAAGCTGACTGTTTTGGAGCTTGCCAATGTAGAGGTGGATGCATATTATGGTCCCAGGAGAGGTTTCTACAGATGGGATTGGGCTTCCCAACATGTCAAGACATTAACTTGTCTTTAATGGGTCTGATCTTGTTTTGATGTTAAGCGACTTAGCGGTCCCTGCATTTTCCTTCTGATCAATAGTCAGGTAGGTAAAGGTTGGGCAATCGTGATCTTGTCTTAGACAAGGTTGGGTGGTGGTGATAGTTCTCCTACTGATCAATAGTCATGTTGCTTGGAATAATGTATCTTAGCAGCTTCTAGGTTTCATATTTTTGGGTACACTGCTAATATGGCTCTTGGGTCTTGAAAATCTAATGATAGACGCTTCGAGCTTTGTTTGCCTTGTAGTAGATTTCTTAGTTTTATTTTGATTCAACTGATAGAAGCCTGTTAAGCTAAGTTGTGAAAAGCCATCTCGAAATGCTTTTGAGAATGTAAATGGTTTTTGGTGCTGTCGTAACTACTAAACTCAGTGGCTTTATCGAACACTAGGAGGCGATCACCGTGCTTGCGCACGGTGGTAAAGTGTAAATCTGCCCAGGATCAAACGCTAGATAACATTTGTTGTTATGTAATCAGTGTTCAAAAGTGTGCTGTGAAGTCATTTGTTATCGGATTAAATTAAGAGATCGTGTTAATGATCCATGGCATAGAAAAGAGCGGAAAGGGTATTATATAAAGTGTATTCATGAATAAGGTTGATATTTGTAAGGTTAAGTTTAAAATAGCGAACTTCTATTTAAAGGGAAAATAAAGTAGCAAGGATTCTTGAGCAATCCTGTCTAGCCGAGAAGGAGTGCGCTTTCTTCGTCTGCTAGACCGGCTTGAAACAGCATCTGTAGGACCAATATTGATGTCATCAGGAACCGCAATGATTAGGTGGCTAAAAGAACAGACATCGATATATTAGCACAAGAAACTAATGGACAACCTGTGTCGGACGAAACTGTTGGACAACCTGTGCCGGACGAAACTGTAGATAACAAAGCACGCTCTATAGTTTCAGGAGCTGATGCTTCGCAAAGCTGGCTGGGGGTTGACGCCATACATGCCAAAGAATGATCCACAGGTTGAGAAGCTGGTGCTTCACGAAGCTGGCCAATGGAAGGAACAACAGCTTGACCATGCGAACACTGGCCAGAACAACAAGGAATAAGTACACTTGCTTCCACCTGGACCAAAGGTGCAGCCTGAGAGGTGGCAACAGGCTCAAGCACATGATCTAAAGCGGAAGGGAGCTGCTTTCTTCTCTTCGCAGCATAAGACTGCCGTCGTCGGCGCAAAAGATCATTCTTGTTATCCTGGGGCATTTCCCGGCAGCGCTTGCGACGCCTTACATTTCTATCCATGGAACTCGAGAGCGCTAAGCAACAGTGGAAGCCACTTCAAAACACAATGTCCTTGAAAGAGAAGCAACGAGCTTCCCAACAAGGGAGGATATGAATCCACCAGTAAGGCATTAGCGAAAGAAGCAAACAAAAAGAGATAGCAAAGAAAGGAGGGGAAAGCAAGAGTAACAGCAACGTTCGGCTATCCAACAGTGCATGCATGGAATAATGTGCAAAGTACACACGGGTAGTGAATGGGTTTCAATGAAGGAATGAGCGGATCAAGTACAGAGGACACAAACGAAATATAAATAAAGGAAAAAGCCAGTAATGATGCAGGACACAACTAAATGCACGAGGATGAAGAGCTGCATCTTTCGCCCTTAATGATGCAGAACACAACTAAATGCACGGAAGAGCAGCTAAACAGCAATAACCAGCACAAAACAGGAAAATAACAAACTACGCAGGGAACAGAATGGAATACAAACGAAAACAAGATACAAGAATAGAAAAAGGAGCGTAAAAAAAGAATAGAATAGGTACCTTCTTTGGGTAATAACAGAAAGAACAACGCCGAAGATGACTGCAACGGGAGGGAAAATGGACAGTATTACGGGCTAAATGAACGCAAGAGCAAAGAGAGTGCAAGTAAACAACGTACGCTGTTGAAGAGGAGACAAAGAAGATGGCGCATAGGTACAAAGAGATAAGGCCAGAGGTTGAATAATAATAAGGGCGAAAGATGCAGCTCTTCATCCTCGTGCAGAGAAAGAACCGCTAAGAATATATGAAAAGTAGAGAAGAAAATGCACGGGAAGGTAGCAAGAGAGATCTTGGAAATCAAAGGAATCATTAGGATAATACAGAGCATGCTAGCAGAATTTAATGCTAAATAAATATAATGATCATGTCCAAAGAGGGGATTCTAAAGAACCGCGGGAGAATCTTTAAGCCCAGAGGTTGTATAGGCAGGCCAGAGGTTGTAGAAGAAAATGCACGAGAAGCTAGCAAGAGAGGTCTTGGGAATCAAAAGAATCATTAGGTACTTCCGCCACTAATACAGAGCATGCCAGCAGAATTTAATTCTAAAAAAGAATGATCGTGTCCAAAGAGGGGATTCCAAAGCACCACTGGCTACAACCAGTCCGTTGTTTATGTAGAGACATAAGACTTAAAAGCGCAATCATGCTTCCTGAGTTCCAAAGCAAGGGAAAAAGTGGGCAGGGCGGTTGGGATTTAGAAAAAAGGGAAAATAATGAAAAGAAGAGGAAAAAAAAAAAAAGCAATACAACTCTTTCACACGTGAAACTCACATGGAGGACGACCAAACTATCGAACCATCTTCCCGGTTTATACTACATATTCTAATAACTATTGTTGAGATTTCTTGAATTCTATTGTTACTTCCATTTTAATTGCGTTGAAGCCCCAAATTACTGAAATTGGGTCAAGAATAAGAGGTCGTCCCAGTAATACAAAACAAAACAAAACAAAACAAAATAAAACATTAGCCAAACGATTTTAGGCTACAAAACAAACATTGGCCACACAATTAGGTGATGAGTTGGGGAGGAGGGAAGGGTTGGGTGGTCGGGGGAGGAAGTATAAGCGAGAGGTCTCGGATTCGAGTCCTCTATCTTACACTAAAAAGATAAAAAAAATTAAAAAAAATAGGTGATGAGTTATTGAGATGTAAACGCCCTGTTTGGCATTTGAGTTTTTTGTCAACTTTGTCTGCTACAAGTTTTTTAAAAACTTTAGCTACAGTAACCTCAAAAAAATTTTCAAAATTTTTAAACTATACACTTAAAAATATTCAACAATTTATACACTTCAAAATTTTTTAAAAAATTTCTACAGTAAGTTACAGTAAAGTTTTAAACAAACACCCAAAAAACTCACTTGCCAAACTGGGTGCTACCCTACTAGCCCTCTAATGAAAATACTGTGACAAATATATTGCCATTTTGATCCCTATCTTTGAATTTTTAAGCAATCTTTAACCACTATATTTTCATCCACCATAGATAACCATTTTGGTGAAAAATTGAGAAATTAAACTAACAGAGCAGTCACGTGAATTGCAACTTAACCATTAAAACAAATTGATTCCTTATCTTTAACATCTTAGCTAAAATGGTTCCTAAGTTGGCGAATCAAATTGGTCGCTAAGTATAAATATGTTTCATTTGCATGTACGCACTTCGAGCACATAAAAACTTTAGACGGCTTGATTGCTATTCTTCTATTTTTCTTTTTGGGCTATTTAAATGAACAATGTACTTTTTTTTATTGACAATTAAAAGATGTCACTATCTAGTTTTATTGGTCTTCTCAAGACAGGGAAATTTAACTTTAGAAAATCAACTTTAAAATTCAATTTGCCAAAATCAACCTCAATGAAATTTCAAATAACAAAATCATCCTGGCAATAACAGTAGAGATGGATTCTAGAAAAAATGGAATTCAAAATTAATTTTTCAATCTTCCATGGGGCAAGCATGTGTGTGTGTGTGTGTGTTTTTTTTTTTTCCTCTAATGTTTTTGTTGAGGGTCTAAAGTTGGGAATTTTGGAGGGCTTTTGAGAGTATTGATATATTGCACGGTAGGATTCAGAAATCTTCCAAATTGGGGACGGATTAGGTTGGATTGTAAGGTGAAAGGGATTATAAATATATTCAAAAAAAAAGTATTGATGCAAAATATCAGCCAAAATAGTTGAGTTTACACTTTACAAAATCAGATGGATCAATCCACCAAAGAACAGAGTTAGTAATACATTTAGCATATTATGCAAATTCACGAGTTACCCTATTACAACATTTTCTAGCCCAAACAAAACAAGTCATTATTATTATTTTTTTTGTTTTAACACAATGCAACACAAAGCACAAGTAACAATAATGTTCAACAGGGACACATCTAATTTCTTCTACTGATCCTTTTTTTCCCTGGCGCTTAGAGTAAAACATTACAGTGAATAGTTGCTACAATGGTACATTCGTGTTTTGTTAATACTTCCACTGCAAAATGAGGACTTTTTTTTTTGTGCAAAACTAAAGATGGTTAGGACCCTATGTTTTCTGGTACATTCTTGTTTTGTTAACACCTCTTCTACTGCAAAATTGAGGACATTGTTCTTGAGCAAAATTAAAGATGTTTATGACCCCAAATGGACAACTTTAGAATTAAAGATGTTTATGATCTCCGCTGGGTTTTCAGACCTGAAACCCAGTAAATAAATGGGTTTACAAGAACGAATTTCTTCTAATCTTTAGCCTTCAAAACCTGCAGTCCTAGCCCAAATGATAGTTGTTATTGTTCCATTCACTATTTTGATGTTCATTTTGAGTTAGAAATAATGAGTTACATCAAAAGATATAATCAATATAATTAGAATCATCTTCTCATAGAATTATTCTACTTAAAGTTTATAACAAATTGTTGTGTACAAAAAAAATTTTATTTTGCATGCTTTTTTATCATCCCTCCACAACTATGATATTTTCGTCCAATCATTATATAAATCTAACCATAATCTTTGCATTTCTTGAGCTCTCTGATTATCTAATTATTAATCATCAAACCTTCTGCTTCTCCAATTCAAAGATTGCAACAATTGTGATGATTGTTATTTTGAAATAGTTTGAAAAGGTTGATATTTTCATCACACATCATGTGTAAGAAAGTTATACAAGATTCTACAAAATTTACAACTAATCAAAGGAAAAGATGATTGGTTCATGATCCCAAAGAGGGCATAGTGATTACAAGAATAGTTACAAGACAATGGAAGCCTTGAGATGTAGATTCCTTTTTTTTTTTTAATTATTTACCTCCCAACTTATTAATCTTGCTTTACTTACTTTGCTCAAATATAATGCAACCAAACTGTTTTAAGTATTTAATCATCTGCAAGCAGCTCAACCATCTTTTTCCCAACATTATCACCTCGAAAAAGTCCTGCAAAAGCAGATGGTATGCTTTCCACACCATGTGAAATGTCTTCAAGAACATGCAACCTCCCACCATATAGGTGCTCAAGTGTGGTTGAAAGGAAATCCTTATAGACTTTCTTGTAATGATCAGCAGCTAGAAATCCTTGAATTGTGATCCTTTTGTACACAACATTCACCATGTTGGGAGCTCCCCTTCTCCCTTTGTCAGTATATTCGGAAATAGCACCACAAACAGCAACTCTTCCAAAAGGGTTCATGTTTTCAATTGCTGCTTCTAGCATCTCTCCTCCCACATTGTCAAAATATATGTCAATCCCATCAGGGAAGTACCTAGAGTAACAACATTCAGAAATTAGAGAATTCTATCTTATACTGGCATCTTCATTTAAAGAAATCTGAACCCATGTTTAGAAAGGTTGCACTTTAGGTGAAATTTTTGAAGTACATAGCTAAAGAGCTCACTGGTATTCTTGACATTCAAGAAAAGGGAAGGGCTGACTTACCTTTTAAGAGCCGACTTAAGATCAGTTTCTTCTTTGTAGTTGAATGCTTCATCGAAGCCAAGCTTCTCCTTGAGCAAGTCTACCTATAGTATTCTCAAGGTAACATAGAATTTTATTATTGTAACCATTACTAGTATTGTTCAAGTCTGAAAGGGACTAAAAGGACCAAACACTATAGTCACAAGGCAATATAGAACCAAAGACAACAGGAAATTGAAGTCACATGACCCTTTTCCTAGGACAGCATATTTATTTTGTTCAATTTGAAATAATTAGTTCCAACCTTACCAAGAGTCTCTAGCGTGGCTGGGCTTAATTCTCCCGAAATAATCAAAACAAAATGACAGGAAATGTATACGAGTCCATCTATAAAAGCAAGTCTGACCTTTCTTTGGCTACCAGCACAGCCCACAACATAGCACCCAAAGAGCTTTGCATACTGCCCCACTAAACTTCCCACTGATCCTGAAGCACCAGAGACAAATAGTTTTTCTCCTTTCTTAGGTTTGCACACCTCAAAAAACCCAGCATAAGCTGTTATCCCGCTCAATGCTGCATTATTCATGAGACCAAATAAAAATAAAGGGGTGCCATGTTCAAAAAATACAATGTTAATCATGTCTTAAAAGCAAAATTATAACATATTGACATGCTTATGATGATAAAAGGATGATAAAGGCTTACATAGAAGGGCTACATGGTAAGAAAGTGGAAATTCCATCATCTCTATCTTCCTTAACTTGGCCCCTTCCATTTTGCTGGGGCTCATTTTTATGATACTGTACTCTCCCCAGCTCATGCAGTTCCACGAGACCAAGTCACCCTCTTTAAATTCAGGACTGCCAGAAGCGACAACTCTCCCGATGCCATCACCATTAATTTTCTGTTAACAAGACTTAGTTAACTCTTGTCATCATTGCTGTGTTTGCATCTCTTCATAAAACTTCAATACAATCAAGATGTCATCAATCAACAATGAGTAGCCAGTTAGTAAGCTGCAACTTACCTGGCCAGGGCTTATGGCGCCTGCAAAGTTCATATCCTGCTGAAAGCAACCCGGGCTCTTCATGCGGTTCAGTTGGTAAGGATCAACTGATAAGTACAGATTCTTCACGATCACATCATATTTTCCGGGCTCAATCCATAAAGAAAGAGCTTCTGTCCTGAGCTCAAAATCAGACTCCAGTGGTGCCCCATCAATGTTATGTTTGATCACTACGTACCTGTTTGTTACTTCCATTGAAAGTTCTTATTATTAAGCCTCAAAGCTTCAGAATTCTGCAGTGAATGAAGAAGGCAATAGCTCCTCCCAATCCCAGAGGTGGAATCGGGCCAAAAATCCTCTCTCTTACAGACTGAAGCTGCAGGAGCAGTTGATCAATGCCATTATCTATATAGATGCCAATAGGACGCGGAGGAGTTGGAAGCTTTAATTGACTGATGAATAAAGTAACTTCTCCTTGCTCACAATTGATGACTGTTGGCACATTTTTTATTCCATTTCAAACACGAATAATCTTTCTGGTTCTATGGAATATGAATACTGAACTTGATTAGATAATTCTTGTAAGTGTGTACCTCATGGTGTATACTTAAACGTTGTAGTCTATAAAATAATCTGAGTTCTCCCATTTTTTTTTCTTCAGGTAAAAAGACGCTCAATAGTTTTCTGAACTTGACTTACCAACAGCCAAAGCAGCAAATGATTCTTGTTAAAGTCGTTGGACTTCTTGTTTGTTATGCCTACTAACCTTTGCTAAGTGATGCGGTGGGTAGAATAGGATTTGGGGTCCTACAACTTTGAGTTTCTTTTGTCTAGTTCAAGCGAGTTATGTAATTCTGACAAAATGTGACGTAAACATGCATAGTTTCAAAACAATCGTGATTTTTTCGGCCGACTCAGCCGGTTATGTAATTCTAAATTTTTAGACAACAACTCAACTTGTGAAGTCCTGGATCCGAATAGAGAATATGAGGACATCAAGAGGTAGTTCAATGAGGTTTATCAAAAGTACTCTTAAAGATTAATTAAAGATACAAAATGCGAATAGTCGTTTTAATTAGTTAGGGTGTTCACTAGCATACCAGAACCCAACTACCCCTACCAAAGAGCAAACGTAGTTTATGTAATGTCAGGAATTAGAAGGAAAGTCACAATTTCAAGGAGGTTAGTATGACGACATGCTTTCAAGAATATGGTTTATCTGATTGGTGGTATTCAATGATCTTTTCGCAGCATTTAACAATATATAATTTATAGTCATAATCATGCTAAAACTTTCATGAAGAGTCACAAAACCATGTTAAGATTACCGAAAGTTTACCTGGCTTCATGCATCTAGTTTGAAAATGTACACCCTGGAAATGAAGGGCTGTGTGTAATGCTGAAACATATAGATGGTCTCATAATAAGGCTAATCTTGACTGAATTTTCCTTTACATCTGGACACCCATTCTTAGTATCTAGTCTGTATTCTATTTTAAGAACAGCCAAACAGGCTTCAAATGAGGATGCTAGTTTGCTTTCAAACCTACAAGACACAATAATTCAAGAACATTCCAACTTGAATGAATGTATGTTATACTGTGCCAGACCTGTGTAGCAGTTAATAGTTTAGCACAAGCTAAGAATTCCTCGTACCATCAGGTAAAGAGTGGTAAACAATAACGTGAAAACATCATAAGGAATCATTCGAATATACTCTGGTTGCTATATTTGTTGCCTAATGGAAAGGGGCACTTCTGAACTCCTTGTGATGCATAGCAACAATACTTTTTACTTGTCTAATTACTAAGGAATCAAGTTTTGAAGAAAGAAAAGAATAATCCTCAAGAACATGTGCTATAATGCTAGAGTCACCAATAGAAACTATTTCACAGTTAAGAGCAATATCAATGAAACAAGGAAACGAAAGCAACCTGTAAGATGCAAGATTCAAGGAATTCACAATATTCATACTCCAAGCATTCTGCAACCATAACTTAAATCCCACATTTAATTTTGTAAAAGATATCATGCAAATTTACAAATCTTAAAATGTTCAAATGGGAGAGTGATATTAAGTACATCAAGCCAGCCCCTTCAACATGTAGGAGCATGCTACAGAAAGGAATCAGACATTAGCAAGCATCTGCATGAACTGGTAGGCTTCTGTCCAGTCATAATAGTTATTCCAGCCACGATCAATATCATTGGGCCCTGCTTCAACTAGCTCCTTAGCATCCTCATCCTTAAAGTCGTACAAAATTACCTTACCCGGCAGAGAGATCACAAGCCTCGGTTTCTTTTCTTTCTCATCCTCAAGAAAACAACACATGTAAAATCTACATAGATCCTGATCAAACGGACCAAGGACTTCGCCCACCATTGAAGGATACAAAATCGACAGAGGATAAGGTCTATGTGGTACTTCAAAGCCCATTCAGAATATTCCCTTTTCATCTCAAAAATGTCAAACAACAGAGATTGATGATTATTAACCTCAATAAAATACAAACAGCCTCCAGACACTCCAAAGTACCAAAAATACACATCCCTATGGCGCATATGAGGAGATGGCATGGTCAAATTCAGGCATTCTTTATCTAAATCAAAGCACAGAGTGTCCCTCCAACCACTTATCTAATGAAGATTACCATTCCATAACACTCCATTCGTGAAATAAATATACACTTTCTCCCTCTCATATGTGACCTCACTGTCCCTCCAAATCCCAGTTTCAGATGAATGTATAGAAAATCCATATCTCCCTAGAGGGGCTTGACTCAATTCATACCTTTCCATGCAAGATTCCTCTGACCATACACAGACAAGATTGTAGTGATGAGATTTTACAGGATCAAACACAATGTTCAAAGCAAAAAAGCGAAGGTCCCTTTCCATTAGATTTGAGCCTTGGAATACGCCTATGCTCACGGGTAGTAGGGTTATACACAAACTTTTTTTGACCATAAAGTTTTGACCCAAAGACGAGCTAATAACCCATTGCAACGATGTAATTTCTCCAAGTACACACCTTGAAAGAAACTGAAATTGCTCAAGTCGGATATAATGGTACCCAATGGACTTGCATTTTCTTGGTGGTAGAAGATGAAATTAAGCTTGCCCTGCCCATGATGGACGAAAATAAGGGCACCAGAGTCGGTGGTAGTGCCAGAGGAGGAAGCCATGGTAGTGGTGCTGGGATAAAGCCGAGAATGCAGACATCTAAAAGGGGATGAAAATAATTGAGAACCATTGCTTGGAGACAGACTGAAACTGGAGGAGGGATTTTGGGGGTAGGTGAACTAAAAGATGAGTTAAGATTTCCTCATTGTTGCCTATAATACGTGCAGCAAAATCAATAAGAGGAAGAGAAGGAGAAGGTTCCATGACTAAGATTCTGAGGCTGAGTAATTTATTTTTGGGCAATCAGCTAGGTTTCAGCTACAGCAGAGGAGCTGGGTTCTGGCTGTTGATTTTACTTTTGGGGCTGAAGAATCATCAAAACCTTTAAAAAAAAAGGAGAAAAAATCACATAAGAGAAATTAGGAAATAAAGAGTTGACAGAAACTGATGAATTAGCAGCGTACCTCCTCTGACTATTTTCTAAAGACACACAGATCAAGAAATTATGGTAACCTGTACCTAAATCCAGAGAATTAAAAAAAAGATGGTGAGGCTGCTATTCCTTCTACACCATGCGTCCGGAAAAGTAGTGCAAGTAAAGTAAAGCAATGAGAACATGGATGGTCCATTATCATCCACGAAAAATAACAAGCAATGGCATTGTCATGTAAAGCACATGGTGTATTCAATAGTTTTCTCTACGTGAATTCACTATACAAACCTCCACCAACACGCAAAATGTAAACCGAAGGCAAGAATGGGCAAAAGGTTTTAATGAGGGGTATGTTAATTGCTAGTCCAATCCTAATCGACCGACTCGATAGAAAAATGTCTCCAAACCAGTCCCTGTATCACACACACTTGTTTCTGCCACTTGAATTTCCCCATATTTGCTATCAAATTTATATTGTCTCTCTCTATATGGGAAAAAAAAAGTGCATTCCATACACTATTTGATGGAGTACGATGTACATCATGAACTAATCAGGGTCTCTATGTGCATTGAAATTCTAAGGGTGAAAAAAACTGAAACACTTCAGAAGTTCCAGGAAGAGTTGAGTGAGCAAAAGCGTTTTGAACCAACAAGAGATTTCCATGGTTTCTTTAAGCAAGCTGTTGAAAGCTGTTTGGTGCACAATAATTAAACATGCCAAATTGATGGTATGGATTCGACAAACATGGTACTAATAAAGTATAACTTAACAGAGAAAGTGCTGTGATACTTGAATGTATTCATATTATTGAGCCTTAGATTGAGACTGAGCTGTTGATACAGGGCAAGCACTGATAGAAATTGAAGACTGCATAATAAACTTAGATGCATCACATAGTTCTTGAGTCTTCGTTGGTCTTAATTGTTTCCTAAATCTTGATCTACACAAGAAACATGTGAACTAGTCCAGCTCCAATGATGGAGTAACATAAAGTTCAAAGATGATGCCCAGTCAAACAACTTAATCTCTTGAGAATGGCTAGATTGAGTTTTGTTTCAGTTTGGTTCAAATCATGAAGCCAAAACTCGAAGATCAAGTTTTAAGCTCATTAAAAAACTAAACCAAGCTTATAACGTACTCACTCAACTGCCCTGCTTGTTTAATATGTACATATTGGACAGAAATATAAGAGCACGAATCCACTGGATTTCTGTAAAACGATCCATGGTGAAAGGTCTCCAGAAAGGAAATTCTAACCATCGATGAGGAATATGCAAATTGCAAGCACTTCCTCTCTGAATCTATAGACTTCAAGTTATGATAAATGCTTTTTATAATTCCAAATGCATCCTATTACTTATACATGGAACGTTATAACAGTAAATTAATGAAAAAGAAATTTGAAAAAGCTGGCAAAGTTTATTTAATCATAAAATCAAAAGGGAAGTCCCTGCAATTAAAAATACTAGGCGATTTTGCCTCATGCAACCCTGGGCATAATCACATATAGATTACAGTCGCATAATTATGTTGGTTGTATGCTTTGATAGTTGACGAAAGGTTGATGTCAGAACTTAGAAAGCTTAGGCTAAAGTAATTTACCTAGAGTGATAGCAAAAGCATTTTAGTATCTGTAGGATCAGTTACAGATTACACAAGTTTGGATAGGTTAAGGGAAGACTAAGCATATTTACAAACCATAGGATATGTCAAGGAAGTACTGGCAAGTGAGGTGTCTGGAGAAGGCAAAGATGCAATGATGTTGTTCCTTGGAACTGTACTCATTTATTAATTAAGGAAAGGTCTAGCTGGAAATAGAGCCGAGTACTTTGAAATAAATATAACTCATTGATCTATGTAGACAAACAATAATTCAAGGGTTGATATTATATACCAAAGAAATGAGCAGAAGTCTAGCTGATACGCCAATACTTGGTTTCTCTGCATTAAAAACCAAATTGGAAAGTTAAATTAGACCAAAATCATTCGACAACAGGGAAGGAAAACAGAAAAATGAGCAAAGTTTTATAACCATCAGGATCGCTATGAAAAGGATAAAATATTATTAGTAAAAGTTTTGTACTAGCCTATCAATATTATAAGAATTCAATGTCCAAGTAATAGTTATTGAACCAGCGTTAAAATAAGGGAAAACCATGGCAAAATGGCCTACATATTACCGCTTGACAATATAAACAATTGAAATGATGAGAATAAGTAAACTCTAACAACAGTAATTTCCAGGTGGAAGGAGCCAAGAAAATGCTATGAATAGCTCTTATGATTCACTTTGTCCTGCAATTCCTTTCATACAGAAGCGATTCTCTTGTGAATCCAACACTCACTCAAATAAAAAAAAAAATCCTCAACAGATAATTTCATCATTAAAAACCAATAACTATGTACAGTCAACTGAACAATAGCTTAAAATTAGCTTCTATAACTCAGAACTAATCGGACACATTTAGGTCTATAGAAAAGATGCTTCACTATTCACCTGGGTAAAAAAATCCTAATGCTGCTTGGTGCAGCATTCTAAGATCATGCAATCAGCAATACACAAAACATTGAACAGGCCTGACATCTTTAAATTTGGATAGCACATCTAAATATACTAAACCTGCATATATCAGATTAGCATGTTGTATGATTTCACGGGAGCTCCTTCAGATATGTGATTTACCCAATTACTACATCTACTGAGTGTTCGAGCCATAAAAATATGCCAACTTAAGCAAATTCAGTCAAGCCTAGCACCGCAAAAAAGCTTCTTTTAAAGCGGCACTGCAGGATAGTTCTCAAAATTTCTCTGTAGGTGAGTAGCACCATATATATTGTGATGTAACTTATCTACTTACAAACAAGTGTAGAAAAAACAAAGTATTTACTTTTGCAAGTTCATTTTTTAAAGGAAAACAATATCAAACATTATACTGGAATATTAAAATAGAATAATTAGTGGTTACATACCACTGTCATTGAAAAACCCCTCGATTGCATGCATCCCTCTTACAGCACTGTAGGGTACAGCATTTAGATTCAGAGCGACACCAGCTTTTAATCAGAGAGGTTCACACAAATTAACCTGCAACAGTCATTTAGGAAATATAAGATCAATAAACAGGAACAAAAACAAAAGCAATACAAAATTCTAGACTTGTAGAGTATGCAATAAACAGAAAGGGAAACTACATAGCCTTTAATGGAGAAGGGTATTCGTGTTTGAAGTTGTTTCATGGACCCTAGAGCAAAACATCTTGAGAGAAAAAGTTTAAATCAAATTCCTATAGTAGAAGTTGCAACAGAACACAAAGTTGAGGCAGTAGAAAAATTTTAACCATAGATGTCTAAATAATTCCAATATTATCTTTTCAATTACCCTTACTTTTAAGCATGCAGATAGGGTAGGATGCAGTATACCTTAACGAGCAATGGAATAGTCAAGATGATACCAAAAGCTGTAATGTACTTCACAAAGGACATGACCAAAGAAAAAGAGTACAACAAACACAATGCAACCTTAGGACCTCCTGAACTAAAGTACTATATATGAAAAGGAAACAATCTAAAAAATAATCACATTCACTAATAAGAAGAGATCCATCTGTAGGTAACAGGGATATTGTCAATTAAATGGAATTACAGTGTACATCTTACATTTAATAGCATAATGATAACCACACAGCAGCAACAAAGCTAAATTCAGAAAGAAATCATTTTATATGTAACATGCAACCAAAAACATCCAGGCGATGACTATAACAATTAAATTCTTACGTAATCCTTAAAACACTCAGGATAGAAATAGCTTGGTAGATATTTGAAAAGTTACAGCAGAACTGAGGGAAAACTTACATGCAATACATGAATTGTACAAATTCCTGCTTCTTGTTTTATTGTGTTAAAAAATAAAAATAAAATAAAATTCAGAAAGTGCTCCAAATAGAGGTGATTATCCATTTAATAAATAGCAAGAGAAGTTATTAAGGATTTCAATCAAATACACCACAATAAAACAAAATAATTCATCGCCACACCCTTTCCACCAAAACAGTAAAGAAATTCAACCAAAAAAGAGAGAAAATTTCTTAAAGACCTACAACTTCTGAGCCACATTAATTATTTAAACAATGGAAGGCACAAATGGAACATTAGAACTATAGAACAAAATAAATAGCAAAAATTTGAACCGTTAATTACCATAAAAATACCAAAGCTAAGCAAACTCAAAGGCTTGATGCACTAAATCAAGTCAGCACCTCAAAAGCTGCAAAATTTACTGCTTTCACTAGTAAGACAGAGGAAATTGGATGGTGGAGACAACGGAGGTTGAGAAGAGATAAATTGGGAGGTGTATGTAGGTGGGCTTCATGTAGATTTTTCTGTAGCAGGATGATGGGGGAGGCCAAGGAGAAATAAATTAGGGCTGCGTGGGTGAATAAGGTATTGGGAATTGAAGAGATGTTTAAATGATGGAAAGTGAAGGCGTCATTGCCTCATTGGGGTCTAATTCTCAGGTAGGCGACACCACAAGAATAAGATGAACAGACAATTATAACCCCAAAAAGTAACAAAAAGCAACAAAATTACCAAAATGCGTAGCAGACTAAAAGTACTGCAGAAAAGCATTGGCCTTTTTTATATAGTTAGGATTTAGAAAAGGTTAGTATGATGTCCTTTCAAGAATATCATTTTTTTGATTCATGGCAGCCACAGATCTTTCACAACATTTAACATTAAAATTTGGTTAGATTCATGCCATAACTTCCATTGAGAGTTGAGAACTCATACCTTAATCAACCAAAATTAGCCTGTAACCAAAATGGTAAAAATGGCTTCGCATTTCTAGTTTAAAGTTGTAAATCCTGGACATAAGCACTTTGCATAATGCTGAAACATATAGATAACCTCACAATGAGGCTAATCATGGAGATCTTGTACTTAACATCTGGACACCTATTCTTAGTATACCTATAATCTAGTGCATGTTCCGTGTGAACATGATCAATCAAACTTACTTCGGTGAACAAACACCGATGATGAAGGCAGTTTGCTTTGAAAGCTATTAATCCAGAAAAATTCAAGCAGATTCCAACTTGAACGTGTCACAGTTGTGCCAAACACATTTAGCAGTCAATGTTTAGACCCTAGATATCAAACACAGTAATGAGAGCACCAATCTACCGGATTTGTGTAAAACGATCCATGGGAAAACACTCCAGAAAAGTAAGTCAAAACATCAATAAGGAATATGCAAATTGCAAATACAAAGATACAGCAACTATGAATTTTAATGAACTTTTTTTATATTAAATCTTGGTTTTACATCAGAAGCTTATAGCCTTATTAACTAAAAATCATAGAAATGTTTATATTCAATTCTTATACTCACAGATTCAGGTCACAGATGTATTCTCTTTTGATAACTCGGCTTTTGAAACTTGTTGGACAAACAACTGATAAATTGTGAAACACATTTACATTCAATATGTAAACACTAACACCAATTTTAAATAGATTTGTTCATAAGGGCAAAGGTAAATTATGGTAATCTCCATTAACTCTGTAGTAAAAGCATTTCCTCTCTAAAGCTAGAATTTGCAGTGACTTCAAGTTACGATAAATGCTTTGTGTAATTCCAAATATGTCCTATTATTCATACGTGGAAGGTTATAACAATAACTGAATGAAAAAGAAACAATATTTCAAAAATCTGGCAGAGTTTATGTAATCTTAAGATCAAAAGGGAAGTCCCTACAATTAAAAAATATTAAGGGAGGTAGTATGATGTCCTTCCAACAATGTGGTTAATTTGATTCACTGGAATCACAAACCTTTCACAACATTTAACATTAATATTTTGTATATTTATGTTCTTTCAACCAATATTTGCGTCCAACAAAGTAGGTAAAAGTGGCTTTCACACTTCGAGCTTAAAAGTTGTAAATCCTGGACATAAAGCACTTTGCAACAATGCTGAAACGCACAGGTGATCTCACAAGACGACTAACCATATATAAGTTTTACATAACATCTGGACGCCTTTTTTAGCATCTAGTACATTCCTGGGGAACATCCAAAACATTATCCAAGTGAACGTGACTAATGAGACAAACTTCAATGAACAAATACAGAGGATGAAGGCACTTTGATTTCAGACCTATAAGAATAATTCAAGCAACTTCCAACTTGAATACGTCACAGGTGTGCCAGACCTGTTTAGCAGCCAGTAGTTTAGCAGCAAACAAAAAATCTATCGGGTCCTTTGATAATACCCATTGCTATAATTTAACCCATGAACCTGCCGACCTTCAAAGAAACTGAAATTGTTCAAGTCAGAAACACTATATACCCGCTGAACATGCATAGTCTTGGAGGAAGGAGATGAAATTCAGCCTGTCCCTTTCGAGTTCAACGAAAACGAACGCAGCATCTTTACAGGAGGAACAAGTTGCGGTGGTGGTGGTGGAGGAATAAAATCCAGAATGGAGACTGGCTGAAAATGGGGCTGCAAATGATTGAGAGCCATTGCTTGGAGACTGACCGAAATCGAAGGAGGAAGTAAAGTAAAAGATGTGTTCAGATATCTTCATTGTTGCCTATAATACTTGCTGCAAAATGATGAACAGGAGGAGAAGAAGATCGCATGACCTGAGGTTCCGAGGCTGAATCTTGATTTTCCGGCAGTCAGGTGGGTTGCTGCTGCCGCAGCAGCGGAGCAGAGGGGCATTTTTGTGGCTGTTACTTTTGATTTGGGGCTGAAGAAGTCGTCAAGGAGTAAAAGAAAAACCCAGAAAACAGAATCCAAAGCCCAGAGAATCAGCCCAAGCCTTATGCCCAAATGGGGCCATATCTTTTTATTTACTTTTTATCATTAGTATTATTATTACTCACTCGTCCCTCTTTGACGGTATTATTTTTTTTCGTCTTTCTCAAATTATAATTCACCTTTTAATTCAAGAATATAGTTAATCTTAACTTCTCTAACATGCCTTTATTTAATATATTTCGGAATAAGTAAATATAGCCTACCTTATTTAATGTAGTCAACTTTTCTACTCAAATTGTGTTAATATATGTTTTGAATGGTGCAATATGATATCATATTATTGTTGTTGTAATTAATATAAAGATACAATAATTAGTGATACTTCTAATATTAATATAAAGGTATTTTATGAAAGCATTAGGCTACATTTACTTTTTAAACTTATTTTTCTTAAACTATATGAGAAAGAAAAATCGAAACAAAAATTGAAACTATCAAAGTGGGACGGACAACTATTTCCTTGTTTGGTACCAATTAGTGTGTTTGGATTGTAAGTTATTTGCCCAAATATATTTGCTTACATCACCATTACAATTTCCAATACACCTTTTTATCTTTTCAATTACCTTTTTATCTCACATACATCACATCACAAAAAGTGCTACAGTAAAAATATCTCAAATAACTTACAATCCAAACACAAAAATGTTCCTTTCTTACAATTACTGCTAACTTGTGGGGAAAGGGGACAAACCCAATTGCACCATTATCAAGTATCAAGTTAGGCTCAATCTTAATTTGACTTTTAATTTAAAAAAAAAAAAAAGAAAAATCGTTCAAAACGTCCCTCACATTTTATAAAATGACTTTTTGCGTCCCTCATTTTTAAAAGTATAATTTTACGTCCCTTATAAATTCACATTTACCAAATTTGGTCCCTACCTAGGTTCTCAACTAATTTTTGGTCGAAATCCACCACGTGACTTGCATGTGATCATTTTTTAAGGGCAACATTGTCAAATCAAATTTTTACATAATCTGATTCATAATCCCTCACATTTCATAAAATGAATTTTTTCGGTTTTAACATTTTACAAAATGAATTGTTTCGTTCCTCACATTTCAAAAAATGAATTTTTCCATCCCTTATTGATCATGTGTATCAATAACTTTTTTTCTATAAACCCACGTATATGTCTATTTGATTTTACCTGAAAAGTACGAATAACATGTAATTTATCTCTATTGGATTTCATCTAAACATGCTAATCGTAGTTATACACATGCTATTCAATAGATATATATATAGGGGTTTTAACCTAATAATTTTGTTTGAAACCCATGAATATATTTATATGATTTTACCATTTGAACCTATTCAATATTTGTGACCTTTCTCTTTTGGTAATAATTTATTTATTGAGTTGTATAATAAGGTCATTTAATTAATGGGTCCTAACTTGAATTCTATAATTGTGCTAACAAATTTCAGTTTAAATCTGAATTTCTACTCGACGCTTTTAAGACCAACAGTTGAATTACTTGCTTTGTGATTGTTTTAAAATTTGAAAGTGCCAATCACTTATTTCTTTTTGTCATACTTTTCTTCTGTCCAAATTTAATTCGATATAAACACTCGATAATATTTAAGATTAAATGTCTTCTTTATTTCAAATTTTGAGTAAAAGAAAATGAATATAAGTGAAAAACTAACAATTTTTTTAAACTCATATGTATATCTATTTGATTTCACTTGAACAGTATGAATAGTATGTAATATATCTCAATTTGATTTCACATGCTATTCGTACTGTTCAAGTGAAATCAAATATATATATACATAGATTTAAAAAAATTATTCACACACATGATCAATAAAAGATAAAAAAATTCATTTTGAAAAATGTGAAGGATGTAAAAATTCATTTTGTGAAATGTAAGGAACGAAAAAATTTATTTTATGAAATGTGAGGGATTATAAATCGAATTATATCAAATTTGATTTGATAATTTTGCCCTTAAAATATGATCACATACAAGGCATGTGGTGAATTCTGACCAAAAACTAGTCGGAAACCTAAGTAGGGACAAATTTGACCAATGCGAATTTGTAAGGGACGTAAAATTATATTTTTAAAAGCAAGAGACGAAAAATTTATTTTACAAAATGTGATGGACGTTTTGAACGATTTTCCCTTAAAAAAATGCTCAATTTGAATAGTTCTTGTTTTTCTTTTTTTATTTTTGATGAAAGGGTCAGTTCAATGTCACGTCACATCCAGTTAGGGCTGCAAACGAATCGAGCCGCTCGCGAGCGGCTCGAGTCAAGCTCGAGTCGAGCTTGAGCCGGCTCGAGTCAAACTCGAGCTAGAACTCGAGCTCAGAATATTAAGCTCGTTAGCTCGCGAGCCGGCTCGCGAGCTTTATATATATATATATATATATATATATATATATATATATATATATATATATATATATATATATATATATATATATATATTTATTTATTTATTTATTTAATAATAAAATTACGTATATTATATATATTTTTTATTTTTTATTTTCATAGTAAAATTATGTATATATCCTTAATATTTTATTATTTATTAAGAAAAAAATATTATTTTATTTATTTTTTAAAAAATAAAATAATTATTTTTTATTTTTTTCGAGCTCGAGCTCGAATTCGAACTCGACTCGAGCTCGGCTCGACTTGATTCGAGTCGAGCTCGAGCTTGAAAATTGCCGACTCGTCGAGCTCGAGCTTGGTAAAATTTAGTCGAGGCTCGGCTCGATTAGCTCAAAACTCGATTCGGCTCGACTCGTTTGCAGCCCTACATCCGGTTCAGTCTGAATCATTAATTGTTCTGCAATTGAAAGGCAAAAAAATTGAGAAATAAAGTACTATGTGAAATTTATAGGGAAAAAAAGAGGAAGAAAAAAAATTTCCATTAATAAGTTGCAAATGAGAAAGAAAAAAATTTCATTAACAGCTCTGTTTGGATTTTTCAGTTTTTTAAAAATTAGTTTTTCAAATACTATAAAAATTTTTAAAAAGTAATTTAAAAGGTACTCTAAAAAATAGTTTAAATTTTTTTTAATATTTAACAAATATCTCAAAACATATTCTAAAAACTCTTCTAATCTTAAATATTCCAAAATATTTTTTAAAAATATCTCAAAATATACTCTAAAAACTCTGCTACAGTAAAATTTTCCAAAAACACCCCCAAAAATAGCTAATCCAATTATGATTCCATGACTGTTCATGCCCACCATATACCTATGACTGTCTGCCATGCAGTCAGTGTACAAAAGTTTTAACCTCAATCAGGTCTGTTTGGAAAGCAACTTCTTATTTTCTTAAGCTTGGCTAACTTGAACCTTGTTTGAGTTGGATTTGAATTATAAAGCCAAAACTGAAGATCAAGTTTTGAACTCATTAAGGAATAAGGTCAATCTTGAATAATGTACTTATTCAACTGCCTTGCTAGCTTAAACCATAGACATTAAACAGAAAAGTGCAAAGCACTGAATTTGTGTGAAACAAGCCAAGAGGTAAAGATTTCCAGATTGAGAATGCAGACTATTCAAATTATATAGTCACAACATCAAATAAGGAATATGCAGATTGCAAAAACACATCACCCAAGAATTTCAGTAAACTGTTTTGACATCAATGGTTTGCTTGCTTTCCATCATAAAGCTTATGAGCCTCATGGAAGAATACATAGTCAACTCTTATCCTGGAAAATTTCATATGAGGATGTATTGTATTTTGATAACTCTGCTTCTGTAACTTGTTACAAAAACAAATATATTTTCCTCATGTTTACTGGCAAGATCGAAGGTAAAGCATAGTAACCTCCGAAAAATCTGTATTACAATCACTTCCCTCTCTAATTTAGAAGTTTCAGCAACTTCAAATCATAATTCATGCTATGTTTAATTCCAAAAAAAAAAAGTAAATAATTAAATAATTATAAAGAGATGTAATCTTAACAATCAGCAGTTTGAAGAAATATTAGGGTAAAGTTTGAAACTTGTAGGTAAGTAGGTTCATGCTTCTGGTTCAAAGACATGCATCCTGGACATAATGCACTTTGTGCAGTGCAGAAACAAGTAACTGATCTCAAAAGGAGGCCAATCATGGATACTTTTTCCTCAAGATCTGGACAACTCTCTTTAGTATCTAGTACATATTCAGTGTGAACATGATCAATAAAACAAACTTCAATGAACTAAGTGGCAATTGGCATTCAGGAATATGGCAAATTACACTAACCTCTACCGAGATTTATTAGTAAAAAAGACCCCCCTTTTTGTTATTCGAGTTACAACTACTCCCTCAAGAACTTTGACACACGTACATGCTCACGTTAGCAGAGAATTTATTCACAACATAACACTAGGGATGCAACTACTCAGAATATGTATGGGGCTGGAACAACTTGCAGCACTATCATGCAACAACTCATAGGAGAATTGTAAACTTGTGTGAAGATACAACAAATAATTTGGTTCAAGGAAATAATCAAACATCTGGTTTAAGAAACTAGTCAAGAACAACTTACTGCTTCTAGTTTAATATCCCTTATGGACATGCATACCTTCAGCATGAATTTGACACATACAGGTGATGCCAAAAGGAGGCTAACCATGAATATGTTTTCCCTAAAATCATGAAAACACCCACTAATAAGAAATAGAATTCCATTCGCGCTTATCATCCACATTCAGCTGCACTCACCGAAATTATTGAACCAAAGGCAGTTTCTTTTAAAGCTAGAATTTTAAGAACCTCAACCAGCTTAACTCAAATACATTAAAGGTGAACATTACATGTTTAAATGTAAAATGTTTGTCGAAATCTAAAACTGTGTCAAGTTATTGGTCCATAATAGGATGAGAAGGTAAAAACCTCACTAAGATCACTAATAAACTACTAGAGTGAAATATTTTCTGCCTAAATTGAATGGAGAAAACCCTCTCAAATCCTTGTAATATACACAAAATTTATAATTGTAAGGTATCTGTAGCTAAAATCCAGTTGCAAAAATTTTTCCACTGAAAAGAAGAAGCACAACAGTTGAATCTCAGAACAAGGCCACAAGACCCATTTAACTCATTATAATGATTCTTAAAGCACTTTGGAACCAAACTTACCGCCATCCAATTTATGAAAAATTGCATGCGTAACTAAAATTCCTCAAGTTATTATCTGAAACAGGTGAATTATAAGGTTAAAACTTCATGAGGAAATCATCAAGAAGCTAGTAAGATGCAATACTTGTTGCCAAGACCAAAATCCATGAATGCACGCTAACAGACTTTCCATATATCGAATTTCTAAACCATCCAGTGCTACACATGCTTTCAAAAATGTATTTCAATCATCAGGAAGCAAAAGAAGAACATTTAATAGAAAACCAGACAAAGCTAAAGGGCACCTGTTCCAAAATTTTGGCATTCAGATGAGTAATAACTATAACAATGAAATTACAACTAAAACATCTGGAAATTAAACTGCAAGACTAATTTAGTTCACAAAATTCATCCTTAAAGCATTCTACAACCGTACCAAGTTTAAATCAATCCATAATAAATGCCAACATTTGCAAACCAAGTAATGGTTCCATACTGTTAAAGTGTTCAAGTGGTAGGCAGGCAAAAAGAAAGTACATAAAGCTACTTAGTAGTTAGTACATGCAGGAACGTTTGAAAAACAAGTCAAACATAGGTGAGCATCTTCATAACAGGGTAGGCATCCTTCCACTGATACAAGTTATCTCTACCGTCATCATCAGTATCTGTTGGCCCTACTTCAGCGAGCTCCTTAACGACAATGCCATTGATGTCATACAAAATTACTTTGCCCAGAAGAGATATCACTAGCCTCGCCTTCTTTTCATTCTCATCCTCAACAAAATAAGTTAAACAAAATCTAAATCGCCAATCATCAGAGTGATCGAACTCTTCATCCACCATTGAGGGGTATAAAGTAGTTAGAGGAGCAAGATTAAGATGGTGCTTCAGAACCCACTCAGAACATCCACTTGCCAACTCAAAAATATCAAACAACATTTCTCCAGGGTTGTTAATATCAATAAAGTACATACATCCACCAGACTCCCCAAAGTACCAAATTCCAGAGTGCTCCATTGAGGCAGGAGGAGAAGGCAATGTGAAGTTAATGTCTTCTTTATCTAAATCAAAACAAACAATAGCCTTCCAATCAGTAATCCAATGGAGACAGCCATTCCATAACACACCGTTCCTGAAAAACGTATGTAAAGGAGTATAATCTATCTCAAAAATGTCCCCACTGTCCCTCCAAGTCCCAGTTTCTGATTCATATATAGAGAATCCATAACTAATATTCATGATTCCCATCGCGAATCTATCCGTGATAGCGGGGGATCCCCACCAAACACACACCAATTTATAGTGATCAGATTTTAAAGGATCAAATGCAATATTCAGAGCCACAAATGGATGCCTTTTTTCCAAAAGATTGAGCTGTGGGATAAGCCTATGCTGACTAGTTGAGGGGTTGTACACAGAAAATTCTCGACTACCATCCCTTAATTTTAACACAACAGCTACTAACCCATTACAAGAATGTAAATCCGTAATTTCACCATCAGTAAAGAAATTACTGCTTAAGCGGGAGACGGCAGTTTCCATTGAACTTACATACTCGTCGGAGAAAGAGATGAAATTCAGCTCCGGATTTTTCCGCCATTTTTTGCGGAACAAAAAGAGGGCTCGAGTGTTGCTGCTGCCACGGTAGAGACGGCGGAAAGAGGGGTTGGAAATGATCGAGAGCCATCCTCTGGAGACACATTGGAAGCGGATGAGGGATTTTGGGGGTAAATAAAGTAAAATTTGTGTCAAGAGATCTTCATTGTGGGCTACGACGATCCCTGCTGCTGATATATAACAGCAATCTTGAGGTGGGTTTTTGAGGGTGTTTGAGGAATCCGGTGAGAGGCTGAATCTTGATTTACCGGCAAGCGGCCAAGCAGTAGAGGGGCGGAGGAGGGTTTCTTCAGCTTTAAATATGTGCCTAATCAACGGGCCTGTGGCGGGGGAACCGCCCCCGTCGGGAAGCATTGCTCCCAATTACTGTTTCTATCGTGCAAAGGTAGAATTGGGGATACGGAAACAAGGAAGAACTGAAATTTTGATTTAGAAACTAGTACAGCTAATGGGTTTTGGTTTACTACTATTTGAGAATGATGTGACTTGAAAAGCTTCTTGAGAAGCATTCAAATGTAATATTCTAAGGGTATACATTTTAAAATTTTTATTGGATTAATATTTTTGACAATGATAATTAGCATGCATTGCACAAATGACAATTATAAAAAATTTGATGTTGAATTCATATTTGATAATGGATACATTGTCAGTTTATATAAAATTTACTTATTTTTAATTAGTTCAAAAAGTAACTCAAATTCATAAATAGTTTTGGTATCACCATATGCAAATGTTTATGGTATCATCTAATTGGGAAGTTCTGCGAATTTTATTTTTTTTATCGATGAATAGTATTTAGATGATTTTAGAAATTTAAATTGTTGAACGATGTGGTAAGAGTTTATTGAATTATTATAATGACTAGAGTATAATATTAAAAGAGATGGTAAAATTTACCTATATTATATTGTCAAAACTTACAAAAATAACAATGACAATTCATTGTTACAATCTCGATACATAAGGTCTGTATCAGTATGGGGAGAAAGATGTATTGAATAGTTCTGACAGAGGGAGTATAAATGAGAGATGTTATATTCGAGTTCGAGTTCTCCTACTTACTTATACTAAAAAAAAGAGTTGTGTATTAGTAAATGGAATTATATTAATCTGGCCATTTATTTTGAGCCACTAAGAAAATTGAATGTGATTTGCATATTCCAATTTTCCCATCCTAAGTTGTATAAGAAAAACAATAATTGTAGTATATTGTTAATCATTATCAAAAATCAGCACTCATTACCATTCCTTTTTTTCTTTTCTCCTTTGTGTGAATGCTATATTGCTTTAATATGTTCGTGTCGATCCTTGGAAGCACAGACAAAACTTGGAGCATAACCTTTGAACCAGCAAACAAGCAAGAATCTGACAGTTTCAACCATAAAACTGATAATAGCAGATTAAAAAAACTGAAATTCCTGCGAACCCATTGGGTTTCAAAAAATTTGAACGTTCCGGTTCCAAGCTTGAATAGCATAGTGTTTCGCTTGCCTTCGACATTTTTGCAGCCCTGATACAAAACGCAAATTCACAGCATTCATCCACTGGATGTTGGCAACACAATCCATGGTACAAAGGTTCATAAACTCACAAATGAGAATTTCATCAAGGGAAAATCAGAAATTTGATAAGGAATATGCAAGTTCTAAAGATGGCTTAATTAAGAACTCAGTGAATTGTTTTGACATCAATTCTTGACTACTGTCAGAAACCTGTTATCAGAAAGTCTTTTCAACTATAAAGCAGAAAAAAGAGAAATCCCCAAGTTCACAAGCTAATAAAGCTTGATGTTACTAAGAATATTTCCACAGAGACAAAAATAATAAAACAACGAAATCACAAAACAAAAACAGGCCTGCAAGATTCCCGTAATTGGCAATATCCATCCTCCAAGCGTTCTGGAGAAATTTCTAAAATTATGATGAATTTTAAAAAATTTCTACAAAGGGGGCATTTTGAGTATACAATTCCGTCCAAGGGGTCTTCGCATTCAACAAATGCGAGCTCAGGAGTTCGCATTTGCTGAATGCGAAGTCCCCTTGAATTTTCGACCCACAAAATTCAAAAAAAAAAAAGAAAAAAGAAAACCAGACCTCGCATTTAAAAAATGCGAGGTCACTTACCTCGCATCTGTTAAATGCTACCTGGACAATCGCATCTGTTCAGCATCTTCTTCCGTCACTGGACAATAGCATCAGAAAGCTTAACTTATTCACTGAAAGCTGGCTGTAGCTTCAACATTTTCCGGTCTCCATTTTGCAGCTTTCCGGGGCTTCAACTTTCTGGCGAGAGCTTCCAAAATGACCAGAGTTGGACTCCCTCCCTCCAACGGCTGCACTCTTGATGAATGCTGCTACTTCCGAGGATTTCAATGATGGATTTGGGATGCAATTTCCCTTCAATTTGTATTTCCCAATTTTGTTGTTTCTTTGGGTTTTTTGGTTAAATGAGTCAAAGAGAGGACTGGGGTTGAAGGAGCTGGGTTTTCATGTTTCACCGACAGACAAAGGACCTCGCATTTGAGAAATGCGAGGTCAAATGCGAGGTCTATTTAAAAAAAAAATGCTACCTGGCTTTTTGTTAGCTCGCATTTGCTGAATGCGAGCTAAGCTAGTTCGCATTCAGCAAATGCGAACCACCTAATTTTAGAAATCACCCCATAAATAGCCTCTGTTGTAGAAAAACTTTTTTTTTTCATAATAATTTAAGAATTTCCTCAAGCGTTCTGCCACTGTTACCTGAAGAGCAACACGAGCATATATGTCGACCTGGTCCCCAATGCATGTAAGAGCATGCTAGGGAGAGCAATTAAACGCAAGCACGAGTCTCCATGAATTGATAGACTTTCCTCCGGTCATAAGAGCTACCCCTCCAGCCACGATCAGTATCCTTCGGCTCTTCTTCTTCAAGCTTCTTAAGAGTCATATCCTCAATGTCGTACAAAATCACCTCACCCTCCTCCGGAGATAATACAAGCATCGGTTTTTCTTCTGTCCCATCCCAGAGAAGACGAGAAATACAAAATGGAGGATAAAACCGATTCAAGACTTCATCCTTCGATGAGGGACACAGACTTTGTAGTAGAGCAAGGTCTACACGATACTTGAATACCCATTGAGAACAGTCCCTTGCCAGCTCAAGAATGTCGAGCAGTGGCGCTTGAGAGCCAACAACCTCCATGAGGTACAAACTGCAGCCAGATTCTCCAAATTCCCAAAGCATCCCCGGTATTCGAGGTATAGGAGACCTTGTGAAGTTGAGGCACTGTTTATCTAGATCAAAGCACAAAATACGGCTTGAATCACCTATCCAATAAAGATCACCATTCCATAAAACCCCATTATTGAAAGACGTCCAAGACCACGTGCCTGAAGAAGAGATGTCCTCAGTGTCCCTCCAAATCCTAGTTTCAGATGAATACACGGAAAATCTATATCTAGACATATGTGGGTAATTAGCTTCCATCCACACACACACAAGTTTGTAATGATCAGATTTTAAAGGATCAAACACAATATTCAGAGCCTGAAAACACCGGCTTCCACGATCTAGATATAAAGATTTCAAACGGGGAATAAGCCTATACCCACAAGTAGTAGGGTTGTACACAACAAAGTAGTGTGGTCCAAATCCATACTCATGTTCAGTCTTAAACACCAGAGCTAATAACCCATTGCAATAATGTAAACCCTCTGGCTCTGGATTCAAATTGAGATCCTCGCACAAGTGGGGAACTGTGTCACCCTTTGAACTTGCATACTTTTGTTGGTGGATGGAGATGAAATTAAGCCTGTCACCCACGAGGAGGAAGAAAACCAATGTTCCAGAGGCAACAACAGAACGGAGACGCCTGAAGTCTGGGCTGCATATGGTTGAAAGCCACTGCTTGGACACGGACCGGAAACGATGGAGGGATTTTCTGGGTAAGTAAAGTAAAATCTGTATTAAGAGGTCTCCATTGTTGCCTATAACATTTGCTGCTGCTGATGCTGATGCTGATGCTGATGAATAGGAGGAGAAAGAGGAGGTTTCATCATCATCTGAGGCTTTGTTTTTGAGGGTTTGATTTGGTTTTCCGCTTTCAAATTTTGATGTTTCGGCAGTTGACTTGACAGTTGCAGAGAAGCCGCCGGAGATTTTTGTGGGATCTTTTAGGCCTGAAGATTTCATCGTGACCGGCTGGGAAAGATGGAAATTTCGTAGGTTGGTTTTGTAAGGAGATCGCTGTTGGGCTGGTTGTGTTGCATGCATCAACAATCTCCTCCTACTCACGCTAAACCTCTGTTTTCAAACTCGGACCGGACCGGCCGGTCGAACCGGTTGAACCGGGAACCGGCCAGGTAGCCGGTCCGAGTCACATTAGAAAACCGGAAATTTAAAACCCGGTCAAAGCCGGTCAAAACCGGGTTTGACCGGGAAAAAACCGGTTTTCCGGTTCAACAGTATTTTTTTAAAAAAAAATTCAAACTTTTTAATATTATGTTTTGACCCCCTAAATTGTTAAAACTTATTGATATACCTCAAATATTTGATACTTTATAAATATTGTCCTAAAAATTTGATGTTATTTTTCAATTAAATTCATAATTTTAATTCTAAACTTGTTAATATTTATTAAATAATATAAATTGCTACTTGATTGTTCTAATTTCTTTGTATTTTCTTGTTAAATATATTTGAAACATCAAATATATATGAATATGCCTTTATTAATATCAATATATTATTAGATATTATATATATAACATTTTAATTTTAAAATAATTTTTATTTATGACGTCATCCGGTTCGACCCCTATCGACCCCCGGTCGAACCCATTGACCCCTGACCCCTGACCTCGGCCGAGTCGCTATCCGGTCCGGTTCTGAAAACATAGCGCTAAACCCTACCTTACCCTATTTGTACTTGCAGGTTGCAATTTCAAAAGCCTTGCTTAACAAAAGAAAACACCCTAAACTTATCTGCTTTTGTTGCTAAACTCCAGCATCAAGATGTTGCTAAATTCTAGGGATCAATATGTTTATCTCAAAATTAAAATTTAGATAAATAAATCTTATACATAGTAACAGTTTATACATTAACCATTGAATTCATGACAAATGTACGAAAGTTGAATTTCAAATTTAAATCTTACATAATTATCATTTATCACTATGAGTATATGCATAATTGCATAAAAGTGTATATACATTGTCAGAATAGTAAAAATTAATCTAAGATTAATCCTTCAGATATTATTAGTTGCTAAGTTAAGCATAGTACAGTGGTAAAGAAGTAAAAAGTCTTTATCTAAAAATATTAGCCAATTAGACGTGTCATATACTCTCAAGTCTTCCTTTTCTTCCTTCTAACATTCCTTCGAAAAATAGTAAAAAGCAGTATAGAATTTCATTGGACTGAAAGTGCATTGATATGAATTAGGCCTTCAAAAAATAATAATAAAACATTATCCATTAGCCACACCATTCAACTCTTATCTACCATCTAACATTTGATCCCCAAAATAAATGATTTGAACGTCTACTAAAAATTATTGTCTTGAAACTATAGGGAAGAGCACTAAACTAGGAATAACAATAATTGAAAGAAGACAAAAGTTCATGTAAGGCTAATAGATTTTAAGCAAGGAACATGGCCAGGGATTAAATCTTTCCCAGATCCAAAGCTTGATGGCACCCCTCACTTTAACTTTCACAATCAGAACAATCATCTAACCATAACCATAAATTTAGAGCCATAGTGTCTGGCATATAAATTGCAAGCTTCATTTCATTCTCAATCAAACCAACCTACAACTTTAACTGCAATTGAGAATTACATTTATCCTAGCCAAACTAAGTGATACTTCCACACCCCAAAAAAAATCCAGTGTAGCTAAATAGAAGTAAACCAAGCCTTTTTTTTTCTGATGAGTGAAAGATTTTGAATGCAGAACCTCTGAATTATAATTTCTCCCATTTATACTTTCTTTCACCGTATCATCCAACTGAACCCTTCCCAAGTCAAGCGACTTAACTATCCAACCATAAGCCAACATCATTCTCTGTTGGTAGGCATGGATCCACTAACCAAAGTTATCCCTCTAGCCATCACCAGTACCAACTGGAGCTACTTTAGCAAGCTCCTTTTCAACCATATCATTGATATCAAACAAAATTATTACATACTAAACAACCAAATTTCATGAGTTTGACTTAGCTTGAATCCTGTTTAGGTTTGGTTGTAATTATCAAGCCAAACTTAAAGATCAAGTCTTAAGCTTATTAGGTATACCAAAATTGTATTCAACTTCCCTTTGTCCGTCTAGGCCCTACATATTAAACCAAAAAAAAAAAAAGAGATACTTTTAGAAATCTCCCCTGAGGTTTCTAACTATTTCACTAGTCTCCCTCCAGGTTTTCAAAATTACACTAACCTCCCTTAAGGTTAATTATCTTGTAAAATTTAAGTCCAATCAATAATTAAAAGTGATATTAGGGGAGAGAAGATAATATGATTCCATCAATACCCACATTTACTACATTATTTAATTAATTTAATATCAACTCACACATTAAAGAAAAACATTAAAATTTGTCATTTATCATTAGGGATCAGATCACATATAGTATCAAAAAATAGTGTATCATTCTATATTTTTCACTTAATATAAGATCCAAATAACTCTTTTAAGTTACACACCCATTGTCAAACATGGTGAACAATAAATAATCAAAAAATCAGCAACCAAAATATTATAGAAAACAAACTTTAACATCATAAATATTCTTGTCAACATATTAAGGTTAGTTGCTGAGATTTTTATGGTTAAAGTTCACTTTTTGTAATATTTTGGTTACAATTTTTTTTGATTATCTGTTGCTGATCATGTTTGATAATGAGTTTATAACTAAAAAGAACAATTTGAATCTTACATTAAATAAAATATATAAAATGATATACTATTTTTGATGCTTTATGTGAATTAATTCTCGATGATAAACAACAAATTCTAGAGTTTTCTTTTAATGTTTAGGCAGGTATTAGATTTATTAAACAATTTAGTAGATGCGAGACAATGATGGAATCATATTATCTTCTCTTTCATAATATTACTTTTTTAATTATTGATTGGACCTAAATATTATAAGATAATAAATCTCAAGAGAGATTGATATAATTTTCAAAATTTGAAGGGAGTCTAGTGAAATAGTCAGAAACCTCGAAAACATGAGGTTTTGTGAAATTATCCCAAAAAAGTACCAAGCACCAACCCCAACTAAGCCACTAGATTCGTGTAAAAGAAATTAACAACTGATAAAGATTTCCAGATCGGAAATTAAAAATTTGCAAAAGCTAAAATCAGAACATCAATTAGGGATGGGGATATGCAAATTGCAATGCGAAGGCACATCACCAAAGAATTTGGATATATATTGAGTTGAGGTTATGGGTTGACTTTTCATCAAAAAGCTTGTGAGGATTTTAACTAGAGTCCATGGAGATAACCATATTCAAATTCTAGACTAAAAAACTTTAAGCTCAAAGATGTTCATATTTTGATAACTCTGCTTCTCTGACTTACTTAAATTCGATATGCAAACAAATACAGCCTTTTTTTATGAGGTTTGTTGGTAAGATCAAATGCACATCATACTAACCTCCATTGGGACTTCATGTTATGATTCATGCTATTCTTAATTCCAATTTACCAAAGGTTTTTCTGACAAGTGCTCCCAACACTTTAATTACACTTAATTTACCATACGCCAAACAAAATTACAATGTGAATATACACAATTATATTAATTACCTCTTCAATTTAGATACTTTTCCAAATTAATTTTATTCTTACTAAAGAAATTAGCATTTGAAATTATCTTGACACGTAACTCCACACCCATTAGTTACTCTTCCAGCCATGATCAATATCCGATGGCCCCACTTCAACAAGCTCCTTAACAGGCAGATCTTCAACGTCATATAAAATTACCTTCCCCAACAGAGAAATCAGAAGCCTCGGCTTTTTCTCATCATTCTCACGAAAACAAGTTATACAAAATCTGCATCGACCATCACCGAACGGACCAGAAACTTCATCCACCACTGAAGGATACGAAGTTGTAACAGGAGTGAGGTCTGTTTGACACTTCAAAACCCATTCAGAATAGTCCCTTTTCAACTCAAAAATGTCGAACAACAGCGCTTGTGGGCAATTGACCTCAATAAGATACAAACAGCTTCAAGACACTCCAAAGTACCAAATATCCGACTCACTATGATGCATACGAGGAGAAGGCACGGTTAAGTTAAGGCATTGTTTATCTAAATCAAAGCATAAAGTCTCCCTCCTACCACTTACCCAATGAAGATCACCATTACACAACATTCCATTCATGAAATAAATATACACAAAGTCCCTCCCATATATGGCCTTAGCGTCCTTCCAAGTCCCAGTTTCAGATGAATATATAGAGAATCCATATCTCCTTAAAGGGGTTCGACTCATGTCATTCCTTGGCATGTAACGTTCTGACCATACACAGACAACTTTGTAGCCATCAGATTCTATGGGATGAAACACAATGTTCAGAGCCACAAAGCAACGTTCCCTTTCCAATAGATTGATCCTTGGAATATGCCTCTGCTGACTGCTAGTAGGGTTATACACAAGAAAGTCTTTGTGACCATCATCTTTTGATTGAAACACAAGAACTAATAACCCATTGCAATAATGAAATCCTGAAACTGCCCATCTTGAAAGGAAATGAAATTGCTCAAGTTGGAAACTGTGGTACCCACTGAACTTGCATTTTCTTGGTGGAAGGAAATGAAATTAAGCCTGTCCCCCGCTTGTGGTGGATGAAAACAAAGGCTCCAGAGTCTGCAGCAGTGCCAGAGGAGGAAGTTGTCTTTGTGGTGGTGGGATAAAATCGAGAATGCCATTGCTTGGAGACGGGTTGAAATCGAATGAGGGATTTTGGGGCTAAGTGAAGTAAAAGATGCTTTAAGATTTCCTCGTTGTTGCCTATAATAATTGCTGCAAAATGATTAAGAGGAGCAGAAGGAGAATCAGAAGGTTCCATGACTTGGCGTTTCAAGGCTGAGTTATTTATTTTGGGCAATTGGCTAGTTTGTTGCTGCAGCAGAGTAGCTGGGGTTCTGGCTTTTGCTTATTGGTTTTGGAGCTGAAAAATTCATCAAAACCTTAAAAAGTGAAAAAGAAAAAAAGAAAACTGCAAAACAGAAACTAAGAAATAAAGAGTTAACAAAATTTGAAGATTTAGTGGGCGTACCTCCTCTGATCATTTGACATATGAGGCCACACAGATCAAGAAAATATGGAACTTCATACCTAAATCCAGAGAATTAAAAGAAGCGAGTGTGACTACTATTTCCACAACAGCAATGTAGTCAAAGGAAGAAGTGCAAGCAAAGTAATGAATACAAGAAAAAGTAGATGGTCCCTTTGACGAACATTGCCATGCGGATGGTCCATGTGACACTGCACGTGGATGGTCCATGATCATCCACGAATATTAACAAGAATGGTGGTGGGTTTAAATAAGGAATAGCCCACCACTATTACTTGTGATCCATGATCAATGTTAGTACATGGCACGGCATTGTCATGTAACATGCATGGTGTATCTAATAGTTTTCACTATGTGAACTCCCTACCACATTTTCCACCGACAGGTTGTACAATGTAAATCCAAGAAGCAAATGGGCAAAAAGTTCAATTGACGGTAAGATAGAAATGTTAGTCAAACCCTGATGGAGGCAAAAGTACCCCCAAAAGGGTGCCCTGTATTACACACAGTCTTATTTCTGCAACCTTGATTTTACCATCATTTGCTGTCTCTCTATATGGGGAGAAAAATATATTGCTTACCTTATTTGATCAACCATAATGTACTTTATGAGCTATTCAGGATCTATGTGTAATGAATTTCAGAAAAAGAAAAAACAAAAATACAGTGTCTACCTTAGAAGTTCAAGGAAGTTGAGCGAGCAAAAATGCATTTAACCAACAATACATTTCCATGGTTTCTTTGGAAAGCCATTGAAAGCTGTCTGGTGCACAATGAATAAACATGCCGAATTGATGATATTTAGATTAACCAAAAATGCTACAAATAACATACAACTTAACAGAAAAAGTGCTGTGATACTTGAATATGTTTGTATTACCAAGCCTGAGACACAAGACCAAGCTAATACAGCGCAAGCACTGTAAAAATTGGAGAATGTATGCAAAACTCAACTGCATTATATGGTTCTGAGTCTTCCTAGCATTTAATGTTCCCTACATTCTGACAAACACAAAATTTGAATAACTACACAAGAGACATTTCAATCACACCAGCTTAAATCATGAAGCATCACAAACCTTAAAATATGCTCCTAATTAAACAACCAGATCTCGACCGGGCTAGATTAAGTCTTGTTTGAGTTTGGCTCGAATCATGAAGCCAAACTTGAAGATCAAGATGTAAGCTCTTTAGGAAATCAAACCAAGCGTGAACAACAGACTTATTCAACTGCCTTGCCAACCTAGTTCTCAAACAGAAAAATAAAGAATACTGATCCACTGCATTTCTGCAAAACGGTCCAGGGGAAAAGATTTTCAAAAAGATAAGTCATAAAAACATCAGTAAGGAATATGCAACTTACAAATGCAAAGGTACATCAACAAAAAAGTTCAAAAAACTGTCTTGATATTAAGGGCCCGCTTGATAAAACTGAATCTTAATTCTGAAATCTGAATACTCAGACAATTAATGAGCTGAATTTTAGGATTTAGAAATTTATGCCACAAAATCTTGTTGGCTAAAGACAGTTTGAGAAGTCATACAAAATACGGTACTTGTGGCTATCAAGTTCAAGCTGATATTCAAAGCTTTTTGACCAACTCTGCATCATTTGCTAAGGGGGATTGCTTGCTAGGAAATAATTAAATTAATTTTTTATTAGAGTGAAAACAACCCCTGATGCAATTTTCACAAAACTATAATATAAATCAAATGATTCGGTGCGAATACATTACAAAAAGAAGGCATCAATTAAACAAAGTACTTACTTTGAGCAAAAAAGGACCATGAATTTGTGAGACTCAATATATGAGTTGTTGGAGATCAAGAAAAGTCAGAGGGAGAAAAGAAGCAAGAAGATCAGTGATGATGACAAGTAGAGAGGAAAGAGACATTAGGCAGAAGAAGAAAGAGGCAATGATGAAAAGGAATAGGAGAGGCGTTAAATAGATAGAATTTAGATGGAGAAGGAATCTGAACGTGCTTAACAGAGCGACTTTAGATATGGTTTTTGCGGTTGTTAAAAGTATTCTGTTGAAACGTATAGATGATCTCACAAGGACGCTAATCACGGATGCGTTTTGCTTAACATCTGGACACGTAACTTTCATATCTTATACATTTTCTGAGGCAAATTCTTAGTGTGTAGTACATATTACAGGTGAACATGATCAATTAAACAAACTTCAATGAATAAATACCAATGACAAAATCAGTTTGCTTTCAAACCTATGGTCCAGAATAGTTCAAGCAGATTCCAAACTTGAAGATGCCACAGTTGTGCTAGAACTGTTTAGCATTCAATATTTTAGCAGTAAACTAAAAATCTCTCATCTCACTAGTTCACAACAGGCAAACAATCATGTGAAATCATAATTAGGAATTGATTATAATCTATGTAGGTGCCATAATTGTTGCCCAAATCACTAGGGGAAACCTTTGAACTCTTTGTAATGCATAGTAGCAAATCTTTAGCTAGCCTATTTTCCCAGTTATCTATAGCTGAAACATGTTTCCAAAGTAGTCTTCTCAATTATATAGAAGGAAAGAACAATCCTTTATTGCGCATTAAAATATGACTTGAGGCATGTAAACAATAATTTCCACAGTCAAGAAATGAAATCACAAAGCAAAATTTCAGCAAGCTACAAGACTCACGTAATTGAAAATATTCATATATCCAAGCATTTTGCAACCATAACTTAAATAACACATTTACTGTCTTAAACAATATCACAAAAAATTCCAAACTTACAATGTAATGATACTGTTGAATATTCAACCAGGAGGATATTATTTAGTACATCAAGGCAGCCCCTTGATACATATAATAGCATGTTATAGATAACAATCAAACACTAGCAAGAGTCTCCACAAACCGGCAAGCATCTGTCCAGTAATAAGGGTTACATTTCCACTCATGATCAACATCCACAGGCCCTACTTCAACAAGCTCCTTAAAAACCATATCCTTGATCTCATATAAAATTACCTTACCCAGCAGAGCAATCACAAGTCTCGGTTTCCTTTCTTTCTCATCCTCAACCAAGTAAGGTATACAAAATCTACATTGATCTTCATCAAATGAAATAAGGCCTTCGTCCACCATTGAAGGTTATAAAATTGAAAGAGGATTGAGGTCTATATGATACTTCAAAACCCATTCAGAATGGTCCCTTTTCATCTCAAAAATGTCAAAGAATAGCCGTTGTGGGTCATTAACCTCAATAAGATACAAACAGCCTCCAGACACTCCAAAGTACCAAATATCCCACTTACTGTAATGCATATGAAGAAAAAAAATTGTCAAGGCATTCTTTGTCTGGATCAACACAGAGGGTCCCTCCATCCACTTAGCCATTGAAGATCACCATCACACAACACTCCATTCACAAAATAAATATACATCAAATCCTTCCCAGGGATTTCGGGGTTAAGTAAGTAAAAGACATGTTAAGATTTCTTCATTGTTGCCTATAACACTCGCTGCTGCAAAATGATGAACAGGAGGAGAAGGAGAAGGGTCCATGACCTGGAGCTCCGAGGATGAGTTTTGATTTTCCGGCAATTGACTGGGCTGCTGCAGCAGCAAAGATGTTGGGTTTCCGGCTGCTGCTTTTGGCTTTTTTTGGTCTCAAGAACCCATCCAAAACCTAAAGAACAGGGGAAAAAAATGAAAAACAGAAATTAGGAAACAAAAGGGTTGTCAGAAGGTGAAGAATCGGTGGCTTACCTCCTGTGCTTATTTGGTTTCTGAAGATACAAATGTGACGAGAATATGGTACTTCTTACCTGAAACCAGCAGAGAACAGGTAAAGGGTAGATGCAATTACACAGACAAGAAGTACTCCAGTCAAGTGTGGAGTGTACACAAGACTCCACATTAATGGCGGCAAATACCGTACCTTGTTTGGACCCTGATTTTCCATGAAAAAATTTTTAGATTTTTGTTAACACTTTTTTAATTATCTTTTTTTTTATTTACGTATATTAAATCTCTACGGTATATTACTCTACAAAGACTCTTGAAAATAGCAATCCACATGAGAGAGCCTGTTCGGATTGCATTTTTTGAATAGTTTTTGAAGAAAACTTAAGAGCCCGTTTGGATTGTATTTTCTGCGTAGTTTTTGAAGAAAATTTTACCTTTAGATTTATTATTTCTGTGACATGTTTGATGATTTTTTTGCATTTTCTAAATATTTTTTGGAGAAAATTCATCTTAAGATTTGTTGTTTCTATGACGTGTGATAATATATATAATTTTTTTCACGTATAAAATGATGATTTCTATCCAAAATAATTAATGCAGTCGATAGTGTTGATCAAATTAGAAAGGTATTCTAGTTCAATTTCGGGTTTAATTTCATTAGATACTTAAGCATACAGACTAATTGGGTTTAAGAGACCTATTATCTATAATAATGGGTAGATTTTACATTTTGGTAAAGAGTATTTGGTGTTATATAAGACAATTAAAGAATTTCCCTACATTTACATAATGTTGGTTTGTCTAACTTTTGGTTTGAAGAGAGTTCATTTAATGTCCTGTCTCTAAGCCAAAAAAAAAAAAAAAAAATCTGTTTTTGAATATTTTGTAGTGCTTATAAAACTATGCATCCATTGAGTCTTGTAGCTAAGATGGTATATTTTAGTAATGCCATTAACTATTCAGAGAAGGTTATGGTGTTAACAGGAAACAGAGTTCATGTAATCTATTCTGTTGATGATGTTTTAGGCTTTAGGAAATCAGAATTTTGGACTGCTCTGCTTCTGGAGCTGCAGCTTCTACAAGACATATGGGTAATTCAAGAGACGCATCAAATCCCATCACACATAAAAACCACTCATCAACTTCAAAACATGGCAGCCCCCAAGCGGGTAGTTCGCTGGTTGGCTCTCTAAGTTCTACCTGGAGGTCACCGTTTCGATTCTTGCTTGTCCATCGTGTGGTGCATCTTTGGGGCGAACTTTGCACCACCGCAGGGGATTAGTCTGGTGTAAGTCAGGATACCCCCGTGTCAACCAAAAAAAAAAAAAAAACCTTCAAAACAGGGCATCACCAACTTCTGTTGAGCATTGTCAATGGGGATTGAAAACTTACCTCAGTAATAAAATTTCAGTTGTCATCCTTTCAAATGAGAGTTAAAAAATGAAAACTCAGGAAAAGGCAAAAGCAGACTTGCTAGTGAAAAGCAGCACAAAGTAATTGCTGCTTCAAGTGACAAATATATCCTGGACACAGTAATGCCCTGATGCACTATGAGCATTGTCAATGAGGAGCCCAATCATGAATGGCTTTTTCCATAAAAACATGTGAATACGTACTTTTGAGTAACTTGTATTGCATGCCAATAAAATCATCGAACCCAACTTCTATCAATGAAGCTATTTGTGATTGAGGCAGTTCGCTCATCAGGCCACAATCAAGTTTAACTTCGACCTATTCCTGACTCAAATACATTGCATGTGTATATTACAGGTTTAAAGGTAATCCATTTGGCCACCAAACTAGAAGTGAACCCTGTTATCAGCCCAAAGCAGGTGAAAAGTAAGGTGAAAACTTGATGGCAATTGATGAAAAACTACTGAGGTAGCATAGAATAGAAGGGGCTGTGGCACAGCAGGCTGAAATGCGTGACCTGTGGCAAAATCTCACATTCAAGAGATTCTTATCCATTTTGGAAAAGCAAAAGATGAATCCATGTAAACAAATTCTTGCAAAACTCACAAGCAACAATTCCTACGATTTGCATCCTCATGAACAATTAGAAATATTCCAGCCGAATCCGGATTAATCTCACTGAAGGTGGAAATATCGAGTGCTCAAAGCAAAAAGAAAAATTTATACAGGAACATATTTGTTGTATATTTATTTCAAAGTATTATTTTATCTTATAAGCCATAGTTGTCACTATTTATAATTCAAAGGATCATATTGATTAAGGTAAAATATAAAAAGAACCCCCTTATAATTTGGGATTTGGCCATGATACCTCCTCATTATTTAAAAACCCTCAGATAACCCCTTTATGTTTTAAACTTATTTGGAAATTGGATGAAAACCATCCCAATTAACGGAGAGAATTGTAATGTCCATGCTACCATCTTTATTTTTTTTCATTTCTGCCTTTTATTTTCATTTTTATAAAAATAAGCATTTTGTGGTTTACCAAAGCTTAAGCGGCCAAAATCATGTTCTTAAAATTTTTATGGTTTAACAAAAAAAACTTTATAGGTCAAAATAAATTTTAATAAAAATATCATCTTCCCCTAAGTCCTGATTTATAAAAATATAGGCCAAAATCCTGATTTCACAACTTCATGTGCAGTCCCGGATGCAAAATTTTCCACGAAAAATATACAAGTTAGGCACGTCAAGTATAGCTCAAGCCTACCACTTTAATACCAAAGAATGCAGTATACATCGCTTAGACCACGGAGGCACCATCACACCCATCAATTGCCTCCCCAAAGCCCGAAGAAAGCCATGCATCAGCATCACTACTTGTCTTCCGCAGCCAAGGATCTACATTTTTTTTCCTTTTTGCCAAATGGAAACTGATAGGCCACAAAGCATCACAAGTAATTTGTTCTAACTTGAGAACATTCTTACACACCCCACAGTATACTTGAGAACAGTCTTGCCGTTCTTCATCACCGGAGCCACCCTATTGCTAATACTCTCACGAGTCTTCTGGGTTTTTCTGGTGGTGACTATTTTGGATGAATTGACGAATGGAAGGCTGGCTGGCATTGAGAAAGAGAGATCAGAGGTGGAAGACAAGCACCCACCCCTCCCCTCCCTCCCCTACCCCTCTCCCTCTCCCTCTCCCTCTCCTATTTGCCGGCTGAGAGAGGGGGAGGAGGAAAAAGGGGGGGGAGAAGGAGAGGGGGAGAGGAGGAGGGAGGAAGGAAGAGGGGGAGGGTGGTGGCGCTAGAGGAGGGGGAAGAGAATGAGGGGGGTGGCAGATGACGGGAGGCGGTGGTGGAAGGGGTAGGGTGGCAGGGGTGGAGGGAGAGGGAAGTGGTGGGAGTGATGGATGAAGGAAGGAGATGATGGAAGCAATAAAAATGAAGAATTCAGTTGATAAAAAAGGAAGCTAATCATGGATACTTGTAGGTAAGTAGGTTCATGCTTCTGGTTCAAAGACATACATCCTGGACATAAAGCACTTGTGCAATGCAGAAACATGTAACTGATCTCAAAAGGAGGCTAATCATGGATACTTTTTCCTTAAGACCCGGACACCTCTCCTTAGTATCTAGTACATATTCAATGTGAACATGATCAATAAAACAAACTGCAATGAACTAAGTGGATATTGGCATTCAGGAATATGGCAAATTACACTAACCTCTACCTAGATTCATTAGTAAAAAAGACCTCTCATTTTGTTATTCCAGTTACAACTACTCCCTATGCTCACGTTAGCAGAGAATTTATTCACAACATAACACTGGGGATGCAACTACTCAGAATATGTATGGGTTTGGAACAACTTGTGTGAAGATACAACAAATAATTGGGTTGAAGGAAATAATCAAACATCTGGTTTAAGAAACTAGTGAAGAATAACTTACAGCTTCTAGTTTGATATGCCTTATGGACACGCATACCTTCAGCATAAATCTGATACATACAGGTGATGCCAGAAGGAGCCTAACCATGAATATGCTTTCCCGAAAATCATGAAAACACCCACTAATAAGAAATGGAATTCCACTTGAGCTTATCATCCACATTCAGCTGCACTCGCCGAATTATTGAAACAAATGTAGTTTCTTTTAAAGCTAGAATTATAAGAACCTCAACCAGCTTAACTCAAGTACATTAAAGGTGAACATTACATGTTTAAATGTAAAATGTCTGTCGAAATCTAAAAATGTATCAAGGAATTGGTCTACAATATGATGATAAGCTAAAAACTTCACTGAGATCATTAATAAACTACTAGAGTGAAATATTTTCTGCCTAAATTGAATGGAGAAAACCCTCTCAAATCCTTGTGATGTAGAAAAAATTTATAATTGTAAGGTATCTATAGCTAGAATCCAGTTGCAAAAATTTTTCCACGAAAAGAAGAAGCATAACAGTTGAATCTCACAAGAAGGCCACAAGATCCATTCAAATCATTTTATTGATTCTTAGAGTACTTTTGAACCATACTTACTGCTATCCAATTTATGAAAACTAGCATGTGTAACTAAATTTCCTTAAATTATTATCTCAAACAGGTGAATTATAAGGTTAAAGCTGCAGGAGGAAATCATCAAGAAGCTAGTAAGATGCAATACTTGTTGCCACGCTAACAGACTTTCTATGTATTCTAAACCATCCAGCGCTACACATGCTTTCAAAAATGTATTTTCAATTATCAGGAAGCAAAAGAAGAACTTTAATAGAAAACCAGATAAAGCTAGAGGGCACCTATTCCAAAATTTTGGCAATCAGAGGAATAATAAATATAACAATGAAATTACAACTAAAACATCTGGGAATTAAGCTGCAAGACTAATTTAGTTCACAAAATTTATCCTTAAAGCATTCCACAACCATTCCAAGTTTACATTAATCCATAATAAACACCACCATTTAAAACCAAGTAATGGTTCCATACTGTTAAAAGTGTTCAAGTGGTAGGCAGGCAAAAAGAAAGTACATAACGCTACTTAGTAGTTAGTACATGCAGGAACGTTTGAGAAACAAGTCAAACATAGGCCAGCGTCTTCATAATAGGGTAGGCATCCTTCCACTGATAAATGTAATCTCTACAGCCATCATCAGTATCTGTTGGCCCTACTTCAGCGAGCACCTTAACGACCGTGTCATTGATGTCATACAAAATTACTTTGCCTGGAAGAGATATCACTAGCCTCGCCTTCTTTTCATTCTCATCCTCAACAAAATAAGTTAACCAAAATCTACATAGCCAATCATCAGAGTGATCGAACTCTTCATCCACCATTGAGGGGTATAAAATAGTTAGAGGAGCAAGATTAAGATGGTACTTCAGAACCCACTCAGAACATCCACTTGCCAACTCAAAAATATCAAACAACATTTCTCCAGGGTTGTTAATATCAATAAAGTACATACATCCACCAGACTCACCAAAGTACCAAATTTCAGAGTGCTCCATTGAGACAGGAGGAGAAGGCAATGTGAAGTTAGCGTCTTCTTTATCTAAATCAAAACAAACGATAGCCTTCCAATGAGTAATCCAATGAAGACAGCCATTCCATAACACACCGTTCCTGAAATGCGTAGGTGAATGAGCATAATCTATCTCAAAAATGTCCCCACTGTCCCTCCAAGTCCCAGTTTCTGATTCATATATAGAGAATCCATAATTAACATTCATGATTCTCATCGTGGGGGGTCCCAACCAAACACACACCAATTTATAGTGATCAGATTTTAAAGGATCAAATGCAATATTCAGAGCCACAAAGGGATGCCTATCTTCCAAAAGATTGAGCTGTGGGATAAGCCTATGCTGACTAGTTGTGGGGTTGTACACAGCAAATTCTCGACTACCATGGCTCAATTTTAACACAACAGCTACTAACCCATTACAAGAATGTAAATCCGTAATTTCACCATCAGTAAAGAAATTACTACTTAAGTGGGAGATGGCAGTTTCCATTGAACTTGCATACTCGTCGGAGAAAGAGATGAATTTGAGCTCCGGGCAGCTCCGCCATATTTTGCGGAACAAAATGAGGGCTCGAGTGTTGCTGCTGCCACAGTAGAGACGGCGGAAAGAGGGGTTGGAAATGATCGAGAGCCATCCTCTGGAGACACATTGGAAGCGGATGAGGGATTTTGGAGGTAAACAAAGTAAAATTTGTGTCAAGAGATCTTCATTGTGGGCTACGACGATCCCTGCTGCTGATATATGAGAGCAATCTTGAGGTGGGTTTTTGAGGGTGTTTGAGGAATCAGGTGAGAGGCTGAATCTTGATTTACCGGTAAGCGGCCAAGCAGTAGAGGAGCGGAGGAGGGTTTCTTCGGCTTCAAATAGGTGCCCAGTCAACGGGTCTGTGGCGGGAGAACCGCCGTCGTCGGGAAACATTGCTCCAAATTTCTGTTTCTATTATTGTGTAAAGGCAGAATTGGGGATTTTGATTTAGAATGGGTTTTGGCATATACTAGAAGCATTCAAATGTAATATTCTAAGTATAAATTTTTAAAATTTTTAACGGATTCATTTTTTTCACGTTGATAGTTAGTGTGTGTTAGATGAATAACAATTATAAAAATTTTAATTTTGAAATTCAATCTATGTAAAATTTAAATTTAAAATTTAATTTTAATAATATATAAACTATCAGTTTCTATAAAATTTACTCAATTTTAATTACTTCAAAAAGCGACTTAAATTCATAAATAGTTCCGATTGTGCATGTGCAAATGTTTATAGTAGTATCATATAAGTGGGGAGTTCTGCGATACTTTTTTTTTTACCGATGATTTGTATTTAGATGACTTTAAAAATTTAAATTATTGAACGCTGTGGTAAGAGTTTATTGAATTACAATTATGGTAAAATATAATATTAAAAGAAATGATATAATTTACCTAAATTATGTCGTCAAAAGGTAGGAAATAACAATTCATTGTTACAATCTCGATACATAATGTGTGTATTAGTAAATGGAGTTATATTAATCCCGACATTTATTTTGAGCCAATAAGAAAATTAACTTGGACACCAATAATACTTCTGGAAGCTTCTTAAAAGTCATATCTGTGTCGTACAAAATCACCTCACCCAATAGTACAGGCAACCAGAGGTAATACAAGCATTGGTTTTTCTTCCATTGTCCCATCCCAAAGAAGTACAGAAGTGGCTATAAAACCGATTGAACCACTGGGCCAATGGCTCAGTGGCAACCAGGGAGGGACTTAGGTGAGGGTTCAAATCTCATTTACAGCAAAAAAAATTTAAAAATTTAACAAGCAATCTTGTACTAATATAGGGAGGAAGAGGGTATACATGGAATATAAATGTCATCTCTATCATGATAGTAATATTTTAATCCTAATTGGACTGAATTATTACCAAATTTGAAAAGCAAGGGAGCTAGGTGAAATTTTTAAAACCTAGAGAGGTCTCAGTGCAAGTGTCAGAAACCTCAGGGGAGGTTTGTGAAATTATCCCTTATATAAAGGGAGAATTTCGGAAACCTCCCCTAAGGCTTTTGATAATTACAGCCATGTCTCTTGATGTTTGAAAAATTATAGAAACATCCCTTAAAAGTATATTTTGGTGACAAATAGTGATGTAAGCACAAAACATCTAATGAATATCCTATATTACCCCTATTTGATTTATAAAACAAATTGAATGATAAAAGAAATCAAATATTAGCATTATTTGCTAAGTAAAAAATTTTAATGTAGCTCTTTGTAGTAAAATTTAGGCCATATTTTAAGGCATTATTTTTTAATGTTTGGATTTCTTTTCTTTCTTTTACTAAGTTGTGAAGAAACTATTTTTAACAAATGAATCTATTTATACAACTAAACAAGAAATCTATTTAAATGACCTAAGAATTGAATATCATGTATTAACTGAGATGAGCTTACAGATTTTGGATAAAGAAATATTTGTAGAATGTGATTTTCTTTTTTCTTTATACCCATATTCATTTAGAATTTATAAAGTTTTCAAGGTTATTATAGTATTTTCATAACACCATGGGAGGTAAGTGTAATTTTTTAAATCTTAAGAGAAGTGGCTGCAATTGTTAGAAATCTTAAACTTCTTTTTTTAATTATGTACTGCTTATTTAGTTATTTTACCTTACAAGTTACAAACATATGTAATAATATTAAGACCTATTACACAAAACTATATAAAAAAAAAAGGTTCATCAATGCATATAATTATTACATTTTAATTATTGTTCAAAGACAACTTTAAATGTGATGGAGGTAAATGAAAATGTATTTTATTTAAAGAGATAAGACACTTATAAAGACAAATTCCAATGGTTCTTCAAATATGAATTATCTTCTCAAAACCTTAGTAAAACTAAATAGTTCATTCTTATTATCTATCTTAAGCTTCACATTGATATATAACCCCTTTGCCTATCTTACTCTTTATTATTGGCTAAAAATTCATTTGTCACATTCCTAAGTATTACAGTGTAACCTTGAAAACTAATTTAGTTGCTAATTGTGTTCTATATGTAATACCTTAAGAGTTTTAACTAATAACTAATAAGTCGAGACTTAGCAAATGAAAAGAACTCATTAATTGAAGTAATTAGCACTTAAAAAAATGCTACCACTCATACTCCCATAATAGTTATTTTCAAGTCCAATATAAAAAACTTTAAAAGCTACTAATGCATATAATTTTTTAAAAATAAAGCATATATTGTTTATTTCTTCAATACTATAGAAAGACATGAAAATATCATAAGGAAAATGAACATTTAGTGGAAAGAATATCTCAAAGTAATAGGTTTAAATATGTTAAATATCCAATGTCGTCGCAATATCATTTAATTTTCCTACCTCCACAATTGATTGGTTAATCATACTTAATTATTACCATAAAAAAGCTAATAAAAATGATCCATGGATTAAAATATTTGCTGAAAGGATTTCAATAGATATATTCGAATTATTGAGTTTCATGCCTGCAACTCCTATATACAACTGTGATAATATGACATCAACAAAGAAATTCTAATATTACAGGTTCCGCTAAATTCTACTTTTATGCTCAGGAGGTATTAACAATACATTAAGTTCAAATTGGAACATGCACCAAGTGTCCACCCTACATAATTTTTTTCTACTTCATTTAGTGTCATCATCTATTTTCTTCCTTCCTTTTATAGAATATCCAATCACATGATTGAGTTTAAAAAAGGTATGAACCAAATAAAGGTTCTCGAGAGTATTTCTTAGTCTATTCTTGAATTATTAATTAGTTTAAAACTAAATTAGTAATTAGATTAAGCTTATATCCTAATTGTTTTAGAATTATTTTGGTTCCAACTTTTTGATCTTGTTGTTCTATGTACTATTATCAGTTATCAATACTATTTTCCTCTCTTCATTGTTTACCATATAAATCTTAAGACACCTTTTAAGTTCACCTAAGAGTAGTGGCATTAAAAAAAAAATAAGAGAGAAATTAAGACCAGTAACAATTTGTTGCTTGATATTTTATATTTTAGCTTTTCACATTTTCTTGGCTTTCTATGGTAATTGATTGTAGATTTTTTTCTTCTATTGAGAGAAAAATAAGTGCTGTCCATACTAATTTTAGTTAAGTTGAAAACCATCAAAATCTTTTAACTTATGATTACAACTTCTTAATTAGTTGCAAAATCGCTGAAATAGATATTAGAAGTTGCAATATAGATAATATATATTAATATGCAAATTTACTAAAAAATCATTTGAAAATCTCTAGTTTAAGAAGTAAAACCTAGACAAGATAATATAGAACCAAATTCCTTGCCACATAAAATGATACAGCTTAAATAGTACCACATTAATCTCCTTGCTTTTCCTCTATGGAAACCCCATGCAAAACGGTGTTTCTATTCATTTGGTCAGATGTTCAAATCTTAATTGCTAATCACAAACAAATTCCCCTTATTTTGCGTCACTAGCTACCATTAAGGGACAACTCTATTGAAAGAGTGCAGTAATTGTATCTCATTACTCTCCGATTAGGCTTTTTAGCCCTTGAAGATGATTTCCTCTGAGAGTTAAAGTTAACAAAATATACAAATATTTACATAATAGAGAGCGAATTCAGGGGCAAAAAATCAAGCTTATTATGAAGGGAAAATTTTTAATAGAAATATTGATTAAGTTCGTTACACATTATGTATATGAAGCATATCTAATACAAACTCAACAATGGAAATTTAAACACTTCATGTGTCTTAAAATTTGAAAGTTTAGACATATCTCATAATAGAATATGAGAAGCTAGTTATTGCTATTGCTCCAATTGATAGTGTGACAACAGTTGAAATATTGCAAAGACTGTTCCTAAGATGGTAATGTTAAAAGGTTTACAATCTTTATGTCTTGATAAATTTTTTCACTTAAAAAATATGCAGGTAAAATTAAAATGGTGTGTTCCATAGGACACCATTTATAAAACGTCATTTAGCTCATAAAATTTACCCAATTAATATTTTTTATCCAAAAGTAAGTAAAGGCTACTCAAACAAAAGTAACAATTTTCAATATAATCCAGCTATAGCCATTGAAGCTGTTAAAGCTCATTTAAGGATTAGTCAAAACTTATATGGTATCCCAACCTTAAGTGAATATATGCATGAAGTCTATTAATATGTTGCGTTCGATATTATACCATGTACAAATGTTTATCTAGTGAGCAAAAATTGTCCATTTTTAATTTTGGAAAAAATTCTTTATATTTGAAAGTAAGTAAGGCCCATAAAACCCCTGTTTTGTTATCCAACCTCTAGTGAATATATGTATGAAGTACATTGCAGAATTCTATTTTTTCTGAACTATAATTTTAAATTATTTTCTCTAGCAAATGTAGTTGGATCAACAAAGTAGAACAATAAGAATTAAATTATTTTCTTTAGCAAATGTAATTGGTTTCTTTTTGAGAGAAGAATTAAATGAAAGTGGAACAATATGCTTAGTCATAGAAAAAAAGACCAAAATCTGAAATAAAGATCGTAAATTAACTCATAAACGGTCACATATAAATTATACATAATGTATGGTTTGAAGTATGAAGTATTTACTCATCAAGAAAATCTACGTCTTCTCAAACAATGATAATCAAAAAATAAGAAAAAAACTATTAAATGATAATCAAAAAGCTGAAAAGATGCATCTTTGCTTATTGAAAGCCATGGATATAACACTCGAGCTTGGAATGATTATATAATAATCCTTGTCACAATTTTGCAACATAAACATTATAAGAATCACTTCAATCTTTAACCATCGGAGTTATCTTCAATTTTAAATCCTAAAAGCCATATTGTTATCCAAGCACTTTAGTTCACAAAAACTATGTGCTTTGTTCTTAAAGTAAAGCCTAAAAATAAAGGAAAAAAACCTGTGGGTTATTCTTCTTCTTGTTGCTCTCTACTAGTT